CACCAGACCCAGCCCTTGCGACGCGCGAGGGCCGACTCAGGAGCCATGAGCGGTACCTGGAACGGCGGGCGCAGCGAACACCATTCACGCCCCGCACGGGGACGTTCCGCTTCTACTGCGGCCAGTCGGGCCACTTCGTGAGGGACTGCGACCTGAAGACGGCGGACTTGGCTGCATCAGGACGCGGCACACAGAACGCGAGTGCCGAGGATGGTGATGCGGGAAACGAGCAGCGAGCATAAGGGCCCCGGCCTTATCGCTCGCTCGTTCTGACCCGGGCAAGAAGGAGAAGAAACGAGGACGACACCGACGCGGTCGGCGACGGTGGGCGAGAACGTCTGACCCAGGTTCGGTTGGGCAAGACGGGGGACGTCGAGAGGCCGAAGACGGAAGACGTCGCGAGGACGAAGGCGGAGGACGAGGCTGTTTCGGGAGGAGTGGTGCTAGGGGAAGCGGGAGGTCAGTCTGGGGATGGCGCCGTGCGGCCAGTGCGCGTGCCTACCCAGGCTGAGCAAGAAGCCACGGCGGCAAGGACGAGCATTGCGGTATCATGGGCTGGGGATGGCGCCGTTCGACGAGTACGGTCGGTGCTCGAAGGTGGCGAGTCCGTACAACGGCGTGTGCGATTCCAGGGCGACGCGGACGGTGCCGGCACGTTGGTCACCGGGGAGAAGACAAGCGCAGTGGACACGGCGGCGGAAGGCGACGCCGATGCGAAAAGTAGCGTCGAGACGGGGCGTAGCACCACGGCGAAGCCCAGCGACGGTAATGTCGTGGTCGGTGACAGAGAGGGTGGCGTGGACAGCATGGAGGACCGGACGGGCGAGCCGCACGGCGGACCCAGCCGAGTAGTTGTCGACCTCGGCCAACTCTCAGGAGGACTTGCGGATGACGAACGGCGTGACCGCATCGCCAGGCAACTGGACGCGTGGTTGACGGAGATGGCCAAGGACGGTGACGCGCAGACGAAGGACGCCCCAACCAAGGTGGAGGCATCACCAGCGGCGCTGGCAACTGCGCTGACTGCAGAGCAAAGACGCCACGACTTGACGAAGGCCAAGGCACTACGGAAACGCGTTGCTGCAGCGAGTGTGGTGGCGGCCGAGAAGGAAGAGGAAGCGCGACGATTGCGGAAGCGAGAGAAGCGGCTAGCACGCGATAGGGCGCGTCGGCAGAAGCGACTCGAACGTGAGCAGCTCACAGCGGACATGGCGGTGGGCAGCTTGATGCTGACGGACTCCATGCCCAAGGAGTCCGACGGGAGCGAGACCAAGGGCGAACTCGCGAGAGGAGTGCCGGCAGAGGCACCGTTCCAGATGCCCGAGCCGAGTGAGGAGTTCAAGGAGGCGCTGAGGTGGAGCGCACGAGCAGCGCAAGCGCTCGGCGAAGTTCGTGGTCGGAAGGACGTCCTGCTGGACGGCCTGGCGAAACTGGCAGTGGCGGAGGAGAACCGCCAAGAGGAAATTGCCGGTGGAAGCATCGTGAGCGAGGTGGACATCCGTGACGGTGCGGCCAAGCAAGTGATCATGGCGGCAGCGGGTCTGGACGCAGTGGAGCCCGACGAATGGACGCGGCCCGTGGAAGCGACAATCCGCGTCTCAAGAACGAGGCGCAAATTCGAGAAGCGAGAGCAGCGCCGGATCCGTGAGTGGTTGGCCGCGCGAGCGAAGACAGAGGGCGGCTACGCCGCGTTTGGACGACGCGGAGGTGATGCACCGAGGTTACTGTCGGTGGCGGAGGCACACGCGAGTGGCTTTGCGCTGCCACGCGCCACCGAGGAGATGAAGCAAGCGATCAGGGGCAAGAAGCCCATGAAGCAGTACCGCTACCATAGTGGCAGCGTCTACCGGCAGCCAAGCATTGGCTGGATCGCCGAAGGGACGCGGCCAGTACGAGTGGGGAGACTACGGGCAGTCCGTGCACCGGCGACGGACACGTTGCCGACGGCACGAGTGATGATGCGAGAGCAGTGGTGCGACATCAAGCTGGACACGGGTGCGCAATACACCGTGACCGGCGAGTCGTGGAAGCGCTTAGGCATACAGCAGGACGAGCTGCAGCCAGTGGACTTCGTCGAGGGGTTCACGGGCACCGTTGCCAGAGTGCTCGGAGTGTGGCAGTTCAAGATGGAGACGTAGTACGGGCAGACAATGTCCGTGAAGGCGCTGGTGGTCGAGGGCGCTGCTGACGGGTTCCTGCTAGGAGAAGATTGGATGCTGGACAACGGGGTGAAGATCGACTTCACCGCTTGCGAGATGAAGTGGTACAGCGGGGACATCAAGAAGATCGTGCCGTTCTCCTGCAACCGTGAAGGGCCACAGGACGAGCGGGCGATTCGGGTGAGACTGGTGCGTCGGGCGAAGATCGGCACTCGGACCTGTCCAACGTGGAGCTGGCAGTGGCAGCGCCGGAGGGCACTACGGGCGTCTTCATGTCCGCCCCGCGCAAAGAGCTACACCTGTTGTTGGCTCCAACGTTGACGACAGTCCGAGGTGGCAAGATCGTAGCCCCGATACTCAACCTGGTAGGACGAAGGGCGAAGCTACCAACGCGGTGAGGTGCTTGGCACATGCGCATCGAGCAGCGACGTCCTTGACGTGATGGAGCTGGGCGGTGCTTTGAGCAGAGTCAAGGTGAAGGAGTGGCTGGAGCGTGAGCTGGGCGCCAACCCCGAGCCGTTATGCAATGAGGGCGAACTTGACATCGGGGACATAAGCGCAGAGGACAAAGAGTTGCTATTACGAGTTCTTAGGAACTACCCTGTGCTACTAGAGCCGAGGAAAGGCTGTCCACCAATGACGACTTTGGGGGTGGAGCACGCCATCCACACTGGCAATGAGGCCCCGATCAAGGTGCGACCGAGAAGGTATGCGCGCAGTGAGCAGGAGGCCATTGATAAGGAGGTGACGAACATGCTGCAGGACGGCGTGATCGAGCCCAGTAGTGGTGCTTGTGGCTTTCCGGTAGTGTTGGAAAAGAAGAAGGATGGGTCGGTGCGGTTTTGCATCGACTACAGACTTCTTAATGCCATCACTAAGCGGGACGTCTACCCACTACCACGGATAGATGATACCCTTGACAATCTACATGGGGTTCGGCGATTCACGAGCCTGGACCTTCACGCGGGGTATTGGCAAGTCCCGGTGGCGGCGGCAGATCGCGATAAGACCGGCTTCGTGACGAGGCAAGGCCTGTTCAGATTCGTAAGAATGCCGTTTGGGTTAGCGAATGCACCTGGTACTTTCCAGAGAATGATGGACGCAGTGTTGAGAGGGCTTGCCTGGGGGAGCTGTCTGGTGTACTTGGACGACGTCATCGTCTTCTCGAAGGGGAACATGACGCGACACGTCGTAGAACTGGCGATGGTGATGGAGAGGCTGGCACAGGGGGGTCTATCGCTGAAGGCCAGCAAGTGCTCATTTGCGAACGAGAAGCTAGAGTACTTAGGGCACGAGTTGGACGCCTCGGGGGTGCGCCCGATGGAGAGTCTGGTTGATAGTGTGCGCAAGTTTCCGGCGCCGACTGATGCCAAGGAGGTGAAGCGGTTCGTCCACATGGCGGGCTACTACAGGCGGTTCGTGCCTGGTTTTGCGAGCGTAGGGCCTAAACAGCTTCACAGCCCACACCACGGCCGCGCACTCCAAGTCCGTGATGCTGTACTTTGCGACCGTGGGTGAGTTGACCTTTGAGGCGTACGCCACCGGTTGCTCGCCCTGCCCTTGGTCCTGCGTCTGCTCGAACGCCTCCTGCTGTAGCTCTGCCCATCGCCACACGGCATCCTTCCGCAGCAGCCGTGTGAGTGGCGCTGCCACCTCTATGGGCGTAAGTTCGAGCTGGTAACGGATCATGCCGCTCTAAAGTGGCTCATGACTTCGAAGGATCTCACGGGGCGGCTACACAGATGGTCGCTGCAGTTGGAGGAATACGATTTCGAGGTTGTGTATCGACCAGGGGCGAGTAACGTGGTCGCCGACGCACTGTCACGCGCGCCGGTGCACGCGGTGACGGCAGCTGGTCAAGGACCTGGAGGAGAGCAAAGTGCAGAGGCGGCAGCGCAGGGCGGAGAAGGGCAAGTGACGGCCGCTCTGATCCGTGAGCGTCGAGCAGAGGACAAGACGGTAAAGAAGCTGAGGCGGAAGGGACGCTACGCTGGACGAGATGTCGTGGTGGTCGGCGAGTTGGTGCACATTCGCGAGGACGACGGCAGTCTGCGCGTTGTGTTGCCAGCGGCACTATGGGCCGACGTACTGCGATAGAATCACGACTCTATCTTTGCGTGCCATCTGCGGGTGCCGCAGACGTACGCAAGAATCGCAGCGAAGTATTGGTGGGCGGACATGAGGGCTCACATCAGACGCTGGGTCAGGTCGTGCCGTGACTGTGGCACGAGGAAGTCGAAAGCAAAGGAGGTGATACCTCCGCTACGCAGCCAAGGGGTGGGCGATGTAGGTGACAGATGGGCCCTGGATGTGGCTGGGCCTTTGCCAGTGACTGAAGGCGGAAACCGCTATGTCGTGGCGGCAGTGGACTATAGTACGAGATATGCAGTAACAGTGGCGGTGCCGAGCCACACTGCCGAGGACATAGCCCAGTTCATCATGGACAAGTTGATTCTGGTCTACGGGCCTATGCGGGAGATTGTGATGGACGGAGCGCCCGAGCTGAACGAAGCGATCGTCGAGGCGTTGGTAAGCACACTGCAGGCGCGTCAAGCGACGCCGGTGCCTTACCGACCAGCGCTCCTTGGACTCGTAGAGCGCTTCCACAGAACCTGGAAGGACATGGTGGCGCTGTTCGTCACGGAAGCACAGAACGACTGGGACCGCTGGCTTCCGTGCGCCACCTACGCATACAATGGGGCACGCCATTCTGGCACGGGCTTCAGCCCCAATGAGCTGATGATGGGGCGGCGCCTGAGGGCACCGAACGAGCTGCTGAGGAGCAGCGGGGTAACGCAAGTCGGGCCGTTCGCCGACTACCATCGGGCGTTGGTGGACAGCATGCAGAGAGCAACCGAGGCGGCGAAGGCGGCGCTCGCGAAAGACCAGCGCCGACGAGTCAAGTACTACGACAGGCGTGTGCGTCAGCACGCCGAGTTTGATGTTGGTGATCGCGTGTGGGTGCTGCGCCCACCACGCGGAAAAGGACTCACAAAGTTGACGCATCAGTGGCTGGGGCCGGTACACATCGTTGTCGGCGCGGGCTTCGACAACTGGAAGGTGGAGCGAGAAGACACGGGCGAGCACCTGATCGTGCACTGCAGTTTCCTGGTTTCCTGCCACTGCCCGAGTGACTCGCTCAGCAGTGTGGCAGAACGCATACTGAGGGAGATGGCGGAGGAGGACAACGACGTGGGGTCAGACGCAGAGGAGCCCGACCAGAACGAGGAGGCAGTGGTGCGGGGCGGCGAGGAAGCCACCGTGGCCACGGCGGACCAGATGCCGACGGCGGATGGGATGGCGGCAGTGATGGATGAGAGGACGAGTGGTAGCGTGGCCGTTGAGCGGTCGCGTAACGCCTCCACCGAGGACGTTGCGGTGGCGGAGATGCCCGCTCAGACGCCAGGAATAGCGGCGACGGATGCACGAGCGTCGAGATCTGGTGCTGCGAGAGGAAGAGCAACACCATCACTACGCAACTAGCAGCGGAAACGACGAGCGGAAGCAGATGCAGAAACTGGGGGCGAGGACGCGCTCAAGCGCCGGCACCAGCGGGAAGCGAATGAAGCGCGCGAAGCACGGCGGCTCGGCCGGCAAGCGGCTAGTGAAGGTCAAGCAGCGGCAGCAGCCACGCAAGGTGGCGATGGAGCAGATGGAGCGGCAGCCACGACGCAAGAAGGCGGCGAGGTGCAGATGCTGCGTGGACGAGGACGACGAGCACGACCAGCACCAATGCCGGAGCTCCTCCAAGTGGCCACGGCAGGACACATCGTGGAGAGGGCAAGGCGGCGTGTGCGGAACAGGGCTGGTCGCTACGAGCTGGAGCACGATGTGGAGTACGGCGTCAGGCCGGGCGGACCGACAGGCAGGAGGTGGCTCACGGCGGACGAGTTCGAGAAGCTGCTCGATGCCGGAAAGATCGAGGGCGATATTCCAGCCGGGGATGGCGTGTAGTTGTGTGGCCCGTCACACGACCAACAGCCGCGTGTCCGAGCTTCTGGACGTGCAGGAGTTGACGACGGACGTGATGTGGCACACCATGGCGGTGTCGGTGACGACGATGTACGGCTAGATGCGGCCGGTGACGGGGGCAAGTCAGCGGGCTGGAGCCACCGACCAACGCTGGAAGTGGGCGATTGAAGTTGAAGCAGCGTGACTGCCGAAGATCGCAGGAGGGACGGCGTGTGAAGGCGAGTCAAGGTGGAAGCATGCCAGGAGGCGAGGCGACGCCAGCGGAGCGAAGGTGAGGACAAGAAGTGTCGAGTCGACAAGAAGGGGGAGAGGTCCAAGTAGGATAGGAAGGGCGCTGTAGCTAGAGTTAGTATAGGCGTCGGAGGGGCTACGGTAGATAGGAGGGAGGCGAGTGGCGGCCGTGTCGACTCGACCCTCAGTTAAGATTTGTTGCGGGACGTGCAGCGAGTTGAGACTAATACATTGATCTGCGCCGGAAGCACGGGTTGCTGACCTTCGTACTGCGGCGGACGAGGAGTCGAGCAGTAAGGGGGGGGTAGGCTGAGGTAGAGCTCGCACATGATGAGGGCAGTGGACAAGTAGAGCGACGGGACCGTGGAGAGAGACCACGGGGGTTGTGGCGGAGCGCCTCGACCGAGGGACAAAGGGTCCACGTGTACCTACGGGTGAAGGACACCTGCGTCCGTTGCATGTAACCGGGCTAGTTGCGGGGAGCAGCCGGCGGGGCTACCCGACCGTCGGTGCCGATAACGCTTCCTCCCAGTCATCTCTATCCGTCACGAGGTGGCGGCCAGTAGCTGTCTGGTTGACCACTGTAAGAACTGCCTCGTGCTGATGCCACCGCGGCTAACCCGCTACCTAGGTGCAGAGGTCTGCAATCGATGACGGCTGGCTGACGACCTGTAATGGATGGGGCAGGGAGGTTGGCGCTAGCTACACCCGCTTACTTCCCGGAAGTGAGGTAAATTTACAGGTAACTGAGTAAGTGTCGATTACTAGGTCGTCTGCGACTTAGCTGGGAACACTTATGAGAAGAAGTGCTGTATTTGGCAGTGGTAGATGTTGCAGTGTCAAGTTGAAGTGCTTTTCCGTGTTTAGGTCTTTCGCGATTAAGATGAAGTCCAAAGCACTATATAGTAATTGATAAACAGACAGCCTGTCAGATTCGGCAGGGTGGGACCAATAGAGAGTGGAAGGTTGTAAAATTCATGCACGCTTCACATAGATGCAAACGTACTGAATTACTACAACTTGAGCTTAGTTGAGGATGCGGCGCATGTGCATCATTGAGCTTACTATCCCCGGATGCCTCCAACAATTCCTGATAGTATCCTGCGTAACTCCGTCCCAAGCACGTGACGCCCACTCCACAGCATACTTTTTCACCTTGTCGTCAGATAGATGACTATATCGCATCTTATACTCATCGCTTGATACTTGAAATGTTTCTGGTAGACGAGAAAGCGGGATGCATACGTGTCCACACTGAGATCCCACCAGAAATTCGCAGCAAGAAGCACACGCAAAAATCCCACTCAATGACGGATCTGCAGCTGCCGCTGATTCTTGGCAGCGTGCGTATTCAGCTACGCCTGGGGGAGAATCCAATACTCTCATCAACCGTTCCCGCACTGGTTCACTTTCACGAACGTGCTCGTCATTGAAAACGAATGCATCTGGATGACCTCCACAGCAGTAATAGTAAGCCAAAGCTAATCTCGGATCGGTCGTACACTTCTGTCCACTCTCCATCAAAGCGATTTCGTCATCAGTTATGCTGTTTTACAGCAAGATAGAATCTGCTAAGTCCTGTAGACGTTCATCTTGACCTCGTTGCCGCGACTCTTTTTCTGCAAAAAATACAACAACCAATCCACCAGAGACTAGAATATAGCATCGTTTCGAAACAATACCATGATACCTTTTCTTTTCTTCTGCGTAGCCCGGGATGCTCGCAAAGTATCTGCAGGCCGCTTCAACTTTTTTGCTTTGTAGCCATCTCTGCAGGTGCCATATCGCTAGAACCACGATCTGCTACACCCTCTCGGCTACTAGCGAGAGTCTTCTTGCGCTTCGCGCGGTAATTGCGCATGTAAAGAGCCTGCTTGCGCTTTTATCTTGCACCGCCACTCCAGCTGATGTTTCAGCGCTCTTCGTTTTAGTAGCTTCTTCTGTTGATACGTTGCCGTCAATATCGCACTCGCGCCGCTCGCAGCTACTTGCCGTGACTCGAGAGGACCCTGGTCGCTGCTACCCACGGTCGTTTCTGCCAAACCACCACCCGAACGCGTTGCGATCTTTATTCGCTTGTGTCTGGCACGGTAATCCCGCATGTAAAGGGGCCGCTTCTGCTTCCTTCTGTTGAGCAGCTCTTCAGCAGCTGATTGCTTAGCGTTATTACGCTCGCGTTTCCTTTCCGACGCCACTACTTCGCCGGAATCAATACTGCTCGCAGTTGAAAGCGCTTCGATAGTATTCGGCACTCGCCTGCCTTCGCCAGGGACGGCGCAGCTAGTAACCTTAGACAATATTCCGCCTTGAGATCAATAGGCAAACTGTCAGGAGTCAATCAGGTCTATTCAATTCAATCATATCTTGTCATTGCCGTTGAAGTCGTTGAAGTTGCTGGGTCAACATTCACTATTCGAACTGTGCCGCGAAGGTTGCGCCAAGTTACGCTTACGCGTCCAATTAATCCGTTGGGAGCTGTCCACCCCATTCTTCGGGTATTCCCAGTATTAATCCGTTGGGAGCTGTCCACTCCCTCATTCTTCGGGTGTTCCCAGTAATATGAAACATGCAAAGCTTTATCAACTTGTGTGGACTGATCATTGTTGGCGACGGTCTCAGCTACGTCATACTTCAGCAACCTCTATCTCTTTGTGGTCCTCCTCCTCATTTACACTATCACCCTCAACGAGGCGCCGCACGTAGTGTTTGTCGTCCATTGAATCCAGCAGAGAAAAGTTAGTGTAAAGAAGACAAGCTTCTCGACCTTGTCTGTGGCTAAACGGTTGCGGCGCTTCAACCATACAAACGAAAAGAAGCTCGACACTCTCTCAGCGGCAGCAAAAGAGATCGGAACAGTGAAAATGAGAGTAGCAATGCGCGTTAGACGGGGGTACTCGGTTTCGCCAAGAAAGAACGCGTTTTTCCTGCAGGGACGCAGACGCGCATGGTGGTCGAGTCGTTCGGATGAGTATGTCTTGAAGAGAAGTTCTACATTGGGCTGCGATGTCTTAACTGGAAGACGAAAAACGAGGAGTGAGAGAGCAAACCGCTCGGACGGAGGGTTGAAGGGCACACGCTTCGCTATTCCGCTATTCCTATCTCTAACTCCAATCACCGGTAACCAAAAAAAAGTTCCCGCTTACTTCCGTAAATTAACCGGGGTGGTAAGGGTAAGTGCGAACACTAGATCTGGGGCTATCAGCAGATAGTCATGGACGTGTTGGCATCAACACTCCGTGCGCTTGGAGTTAGAATTGTTTGGGCTGACCGATGCTGTCAACGACCAAGTGACTAGCTCCCAGCGTGGACTTCGTTGCTCACCAAAATTCCAATGGTCGTAAAACAGCGTTTAGATCTTGTAGATCGCAATACCAGCGATCTATCCGAGTTTGTGGTGTATGCATGCTCCATCAGTCACACATGTACGAAGGCTTTTTGTAGGCGGATCTACTACTAATACTTAAAAAACTAAATACTTCTGAAAGCCGAGGAAAGAGTAACTTGTCCTCCGCGTCGCTGGACCGAATTCAACTTTAACTAAAAAAGGCAAAGCCTCTTTAGCAACAATTCTGCCACGCACGGACAACTTATGCATCTGAGCGATTTATTGTAATGCGCGATTGAGTTAGGGTACAGGGCACCAATTTGCCGAGGGAACCAATTTGCCGAGGGAACCAATTTGCCACGCGTATCAGCTGATAAAAATAACCACGCTTCAGCGAGCTCTTCAAGATGCTAGATCTCCGCGTCCTCGCGCCCTGTCCGCGGTTTGCTGCCCTCTTTCCGCAGTAGTCGTCTACCCACTCGTTGTCTGATTCACAGTGAGCCCGCACTTCTCATCCGACCTCGGCGGCCGCAAGACTTCCAGACCTTTCAGCATCTTCATGTGGGGTGCACCACCGGCTTCTTCTTCGAAAGCATTATGACAATCAGCGGACGGACGATGCCTCTCTATTGCCAATGAATCGGGCCCACTACTCTCACCCACACCTATGGCCCTGCGTGTCTAGGCCTTGCGTCGGGATCGACAAAAGCATTGCGATTGGCGTACTCTTCATGAAGGAGATGCTCACACCGATCGGCAAGCTAAGTTCACCTTCGACGCCCAACCGACAAGCCCCTGAGTTTGTGGCGCCACGGTTATCCTGTGCGCACACCGCTGGGCAAATGCATCGGCACCGTTTTCGTATCGTCCGGCAACGCCAGCCTCGTGAACGTGCTGACATACATCAACTGCGTGGACTTTCCACGGCGGCAACAAACTCGAAGCACAACCTCCCGCGTCGGTGTTAACTTCGTTCGGTTTACCCAGGTCAGCTTGGGCGAGTTCCGCAAACGCGTATTGTAGCTGATACGCGAAAGTTGCTGTGCTGCTAGCGAAGACTACGCCGCAGTCACGAGAAAAGCTATCTAGCCTCACTACCAGTATCACCACGGAGCATTTGTTAGCACTTAAGCAATGTCAGGCGAAACACTGTTGTTACATGTTTTGGGGCGGCAAAATGGTTCGGTTGTCGGAAGCCGCGCGTGAAAATATGTGGATTTTCTGAGCAGCCAATACTCTTGTTCATCTCGTTCTATCGGCGTGATCGCAAGTGCAACAGAAAGCCAAAGGGCCTAGCTTTCCGATGGTGTGCGCACGGACGACCTAGTAATCGACACTTACTCAGTTACCTGTAAATTTACCTCACTTCCGGGAAGTAAGCGGGAACTAAGATCAACTTACAGGTAAATAGAGAACACTACCCAGATCGGATCGGGTCTTACAAAAACGCCAAACGTAGGCTCGAAACCCACAGCACCCAAACTCGGCTTCAACGTTAAGCCGTCGCCGCGTCACAACCACACTCGTGAAAAAATTCGCCCGGGACGCACGCCATGGCTGGACGAGCAGCACGCTACCGGCCCTCGGCGCGTGCTTCGGAGCGCTTCTGAAGCAGCGCGCGTGCCGCGCTCCAAGATCGCCGACCCCTACAGCTTGAGCTCCATGAGCAGCGCGTCGCGGCCGGGCTTGTAGTAGTCGGCTCGGATGGCGGTGCGCGCGAAGCCCTGCGACTCGTACAGCGCGATGGCGCCCACGTTGGCCGTGTCCGCCTCCAGCAGCAGCATGGCCGCGCTGCAGCAGCGAGTGAGCGAGCAAGCGGCACGAATAAGATGGACACACCAGAGTTCGAAAAACACATCAGCATGAGCGACCCGATCCTCCGTCACGTAGCGTTTTGTGCGGAGGACACGCACCGATTCGTCCGCAGGGTCGCGATGGCGAGCTGCAGCAGGCGCCGACCCAAGCCGCGCCGCCGCTGGGACTCGGCCACGGCGATGCGGTCGATGTGTCCCTCGGTCTGCACACATCAGGAGGCAAAGCAAAGCAAAAGCAGCGATGAGCGACGGACGGACGGCACGCGCTGTTACCGCTTCCTCTTCTTCGGACGTACGCCGTTGCGCCGAAACAGGATGTACCCGTGCACGCCGCCGCCGTCGACCGCCAGCACCAGGGTGTTGTGTCTGCACCAAGAACAATAGCAGCCCGTCAGCGACCAGCCCCTCGCTCGTGTGACACACAGTGTGTGGCGTGCGGCGCCGTGTTGTATCCTACGGCTTCATGGCCTCCTCCACCAAGCGCTGGCCGAGGCTGTCGCTCTTGGAGAAGCTCCTGCGGCAACGCACACAGGCAAGAACAATAGGCAGACGGGAGCGTCGTGAGGAAGAGGATGGGGCGCAAGAGGGCGCGGAGACACAGCTAAGCCGGAGAGAGCCGCCAACTCCATCGGCACCGTCGAGTCGGGTCGAGCCGACACCTGCAAATGGCGCTGCCGCCCGCTAGTAGCTGTTATTATCACCGCACTTTTTCTCCAGACGCACGGCCTGCGCGAGCCACTCCGCTTTCGTCTTCTTGGTCACGACCACCAGCTCCACCTTCGCTACTTCGGCCGGCGCCCCACTCGCTCGTACCGTCGCCGTCATTGGTTCGAGCTCGAGTGAGTATTTGAATTCGAGTGGCGCCAAACGCCACTAAAGCCTAGTTAGCCATCTGGCAAATCGCCATTGAGACGCTCCCAATTGCGTCTGTCGGTGTCCCATTGAACAGCGATGGTTGACATTGAGGTGCCAGTTAAAATACTCCATTATTCGCACAATCCCTAGTCCACTAATAGCTAATTCTGCCTTATACGACTCGGCCGACGACTCTGCATTGCATCCGTCCTGCACTGCAGCAGCAGCAGCTCCGTGCCCTGCCACTGCTGTAGACAGACTCCATCCATGCATGCATGCATGTACGCACGCGCGCGTTGCCAGCTCGATACATCTACAGTACAATACACGACGACCCACGCCACCTCGCCTGCCCGCCCGCTTAGCTCGCTTGGTTGCAGGCCAACGCGGACGCCGCGCCGTCCCGGGGCCGATGCAGCACCGGGTGCTGCCAGATCTCCTCCATCGTGATGCGCTCTGTCGGGTCCACGCTCAGCATGCGCGCCAGCAGGTCCTGCATAGGCTCCGACACCTCCTGGCCCAGCCCCCACGCCGTGAACACCGCCTTGATACCGCGCTTGGCCACGTACCGGAAGCCCGGGTCCGACGGCTCCGCGCGCTCGAACGGCGGCGACGACGTCAGCAGGATGAAGAAGGCGATGCCCGCCGACCAGATGTCGGCCCGCCGCGGGTCGTAGTGCTCGCGCGCCACGATCTCCGGCGCCATGTAGTAGTTCTTGCCCACCGTCTCGTCACAGCGGAAGCCACCACCACCACTGCTGCTTCCGTTGCCGTCGCCGCCGCTCGTCGGACTGCCAGCTGGACTGCCGCCCACCGCCGACGGGTCCTGCACGCACAGGCCAAAGTCCGCGATCACCGCGCGCCCGTCACGCAGCAGAATGTTCTCGAGGCTCACGTCTCGGTGCGCGATGCCGTGGCTGTGCAGGAAGCGCAGGCCCGACAGCACGTCCACCAGGTACCGGTGCGCCACGCTCTCGTGCAGGCGCTTGGACCCATCCACGCCGTTGAGGAATGGGCCGCCGCTGTCCTCCGGGATCGGCTCCTCTAGAGTTGCTAGTGTCGCGGCCGCTACTGCGTCTTCTTTTTGATTGCCCTGGCCGTCGCTGTCACTGCCAACGCTACTGCCGCTCTTGTCCTCGTCCGCCGTGACGGGCTGCACGCACGCGTCCAGCAGGTCGCCGCCCTCGCAGTAGTCGAGCACCATGTGCAGCACGCCGCCGCCCCTGGCCACGAAGTAGCTGTGCATGTTGATGACGTTCGGGTGCCCGCCCAGCGCGCGCACGCGGTCCAGCACCTCCACCTCGTGCAGCACGTTCTCCTGCACGAGCTCCTGCGAGCGCGACTTGTGCTGGAGCGCCAGCTGCAGGTCCACGGTCTTGACGACCACGCGCTCGTGCGTGAGGCGGTCGCGGCACAGCAGGATCTCGCCGAAGATGGCCGCGCGCAGCGACGCCTCCGTCTCGTAGCGGCTCGTGCCCATGTCGGTGTCGGTGTCGGTGCCGGTGCCTGTCTACTTGTCCGCGGCTAATGGACGCGTCCAGCTCGCGTGTTGAAGAGTGACCGAATGCGAGGAGTGAGGAGGTGAGACCGTCGGCCGACCGAACTCAAATGATCGCCCTCGTCCAACTGTAACGAGGTGTGGGCGACGACCGTCGGCCAACAAGCAAGGAACTCTGCGACTGCGAGCGAGTACTGCAGCTTCGGCTACTCAGGGCGCTCCAGATGCCGCCGCTGCTGTTGCTGCTGCTTGGCGCAGTCGAGAAAGGGCTGTCGTCGGTAGGCGAGCCCCAGCTGGCGCGCTCTGCGTGTTCAAGGCGAGCGGCGGTGATTCGGCTGAATCAAAACGCGTGTTGGGGGCGTCTGGCGAATGGAAATCAGACGCTGCGGCGCGCTTGTGGGCTCGGAGGCGGATCGGGAAGTGCTCGCTGCTTGCCCGCTCGATCGATCGATCGATGCTCCAAGGCCCCGCCCAATTCTTCTACACCGTATCATCATCTTTGGCCGTCCGTTACAGCGGCTTGAGTATCCCCTCATTTGCAGCAGAGTCTTTACCTACTCTCTCCAGCTTTGCCTTCGAGAGCCTTCGAGCACCTATCACCAGATAGCCCTGAAATGGCCGTTGAGCTGCATCCCGCCGGCCGGCATATCAACCACAGCAGGCGGCCAACAACGGGCAGCAAGAAACCAGGCGTGCGTTTTGGCTCGGACGGGCGAGGTTGCACACGACCCCACTTCTGGGCCGCGCGCAACATCCAAGGCGCGAATACAACTCATGGCTAGCTAGCTCGATTTTTGGTTGCGCTAAGTGAGGCCATTGCTGCAGCTGAAGTTTCGGCTCGCTGATCATTTGCATCCGAGCCCAGTAGATGGATATCTGGTCTGTGTAGTGGTATTAATAAGTAGTGACTGATATCGCCACCGCCGCTGTTGTTGTTGCTGGCTTCCTTATCGTCGGATGGCCCGGCAGCTTGGTAAGTTATCCAAGTAGCAGCGCGCTCTATATGGCATGACTTCTCAAACAGTGCCCGCTGTCAAAATATTGGCGATTGCCTTCTGGACCATCGCGACTGGCAAGGTGAAGTTGAAGTTATCAGCGAGATCGGCAAGATCTCACTGGTCGATGTTGCACAGCACACATGTCTTCGCAATCGGTTTGCCTCTTAGTGGTAGAAACGCAAGCAAGCTCCAAAGGTTCATACTCACAACAGTTGCCACTCCCAGCCTGGGAGTCCCAGGCTGGAAATTCCAGCATTGGCGGCTTTGGGCGAAGCCTCGTACGAAGTAACCACCAAGCTCTCTCGCGACAGCAAGCAGCCTTGTCTAATGGGCAGGGAATCCTGCCCAAGCAGTTGCTCTGAGCAACTTGCTCACCATCGCATAAGCTCGAAAAACAGCGTGGTTGAACTGGTCAAGTTGCAGTTGCAGGCGACGCCCAAAAGATACCATTTAGTCCACAGCGATGGAATCGGAAACGCCTGCGCCTCCTTCACTTCAAAATGCCTAGGCGCTACCATTGCTGCTTTACTTCACTCCCAACCCGTACTAGTCATCGCGCGCGACGTGTCTAGTCTTCTGGCGAGATCTCGAGGATGGTGGGGTTCGGCACAATGTGAGCATCCTTTGAGCCTGCAACCACGCGGCCGACTACCCACGCAGGCATGCCATCCAGCTCACGCAGTTCCTTGATGAAAGCGTCCGCGTTCTCTGCCGGCAGACACAGCAACAGACCGCCAGACGTCTCCGCGGCGAAGCCGTCCAGCAGCTTGAACGAGTTGCCGATGGTCTCGTTCACCTTGACCATGTTCTTGATGATTGGGAGCGTGTGGAGCTCGAACGACACGTCGCCCAGCTGCGACTTGGCTTGGTTGCGCGCGTGGGCAAGGATGCCAAAGCCCGTCACGTCAGTCGCTGAGTGGGCGCCGTACTGTACGAGCAGAGAGAGTTTTAGTTTAGCATCGTCTCATATCAACTGATCGACTAATCCCTCCAACAAACCTTGTGCATCATCTTGGCAGCGTTCAGGTTGAGACGGCTCATGGACTCGGACGCCATTCGGAACGCAACATCGGCGTCCTCCGGGGTCACGACCTTGTCCACGCGGTGCCAGCGCTCAGGCTTCTTCTTCCACTGGAAGAGGTTTACAGCCACCTGCGTGCCGAGCGGCTTCGTGAGGATGATCACGTCCCCGACCACGGCGTTCTCCGGGCGGATAATTTGACTCTCTGCTCAACAAACAGCCAGTCAACATGAGTACTGCAGACTTGCCACCGACTTCTACTGCGACCTAGAGCACCTACCGCTGCGCACGCTCATGGCGACGCCGCCGACAATGGGCCACGGGTTCATGACCGTCTGGCCGCCCGTGACGTTGGTCTGCGCGCGCCTGGCCAGGTCGTTGAAGCCGCGGATCATCTGCGTGGTGACGACGTCGCGCTGCTTCTCGCTCATGTCGCGGCACACGCCGAGGATCATGAGCATGGTGTCCACCTCGGTGACGCCCATGGCGTAGACGTCCGACAGCACGTTGGCGCAGGCGATCTTGCCCTGCACGTACGGGTCCTCGACGCTGGGGAAGAAGAAGTCGGTGGTGGACACGAGGTACAGGTCCTGGCCGTGCGAGATCTTGACCACGCTCGAGTCCATGCCCGGCGTCTCGTTGGGCTTGAGGTCGTTGGCCAGGTTGTCCAGGTAGCCGAGCAGCTTGGCCTGGGGCAGCTTGCAGCCGCAGCCCTTGAGCGCGCTGAAGTTGGTGAGCACGAAGTCCGACTCGAGTCCGAGCTCCACGGGGTCGAACGCGGCGGCGTCGCTCGAGGTCTGCGGCGCCGTCGACGGCGACGAAAGCTCGCGCTCGATGAGCTCCTTGGTGTGCTGCGCTGCGACCTCCATGCTCGGTGCTCGGTGCTCGGTGCTCGGTGATGGATACGCTGATGAAGTGAGAGACGATGACAGGCAAGAAGCTGGGATGCGATTGGTGGATTCACTTTAGTGACATGGTTGTTATTTGGTGTAGTACACACAAAAGCAGAGATCTTTAAGAGACGCAAACGAGAGAAATGAGGAGAACGAAGTATAGACTTGGTAAAGGTGTATGCACGTGCATGTATTTGTTGGTAGTAGTTATTACTACCAGTAGCTAGCTTTGGGGTCTTGGTTGAACGATTGTGTTTATGTCGCTTGCGTCGGGCTCTGGCCCGGGCTCGTGCGGCGTCTCCGCGCCTTCAGGACGCAAGCCTTTTGCTCTTGCGGCGCCCTCGGCCAGGGAGGGGTGTTGTCGGGCGGAGCGCGCGGCGCACGCGCGGGCGGGCTGGAGACCGATACAAGCTGGATTAAATATGGCGGAACCAAGTTGGGCGGAGAGGGGTTCTTCTGAGAGGCGGGCGGCGCCAGCACGGGGAGACTGAGGTCAGAATTCCGTCATTCTGGGCTGGTAGAAAAGGAGGGGGAAGCCCCCGCGCGCTGCGCCGACCGCCGGCGATCGACCCACCGACCAATACACTGACGCGCCGCAGAGCGGTCTGCGGCGCTTGTTCTAACGTCCTCTGTCGTCGGGCGAGAGGCTTGCTGCTTCGTTCAGTGCCGGCGAAGCGTCGTGAGGCGGCTTGGGGCTCTGCGCTCACAGCTGCCGGCGGCAACAAGACTCGGCGACGACGTCCAACTTGGCGCTCGTCTGCAGAGCGGGGCAGCAGCGGCTCCCCGGGCCGCGCGCTGCCTCGGCGCTCGCAGGAATTGCGGTGGTGTGGCTTAACACTTGGAGTCTCGAGGGCATCGCAGTCGTGGTAGCAGTCAGCATCTTTGGAAATGAAGCCTTGCTGCCAGGTCAACCCACGCTGGCGCCACGTCCTTTTGCCTCGTACCGTAGGGAACGTGCGGAGAAAAATCCACCGGTCGTTACCAGCACTCGCAAACCTAGAATGCGCGAGTGAAGGTCGGTCCTACACGTAGCCATCTGTCAAAGGGCAACTTCCCGGACAAGCGAAAGAATCCACTGCAATATCCGGCTCGGCTTCACAACGCAAAGTGTCCTCGGCTTCACCACAACGCATATGAAAATGGACCGCTAAATGCATCAAAATGTTATATATTTGCGAGAATAACCCAGCAGTCCACCCTAGCGTTTCAAAACTTGGCTGTCCTATTTGACCGCCATGAGGATCGCGATAATAGCCACGACCACCAGCAGCGCGAAGATGCCGATGCAGATCAGCTTCGTCTTGGAGCACTTGCAGAAGCCGCGCTTGAGGTTGGCCTCCCGAACGTTGCGCAGCGCGCCCTCCGTGTTCTCCTGCGCGGCGGTCGTGTTGTCCTCAATGTCCACTGCACAGCACAACGCACCGAGAGCATCGAACGTCAGCTCAAATCTCCCTCGGCACAGCTATTAACAAAGCAAAACAGCATCACGCACCGACGATCTCGCCCTGGTCCTGCACTAACCCGTCGACCTCCTGGTAAGCCGCGTTCACCTCGTGCAGCTGCTGGTTGATCTTGATAATGTCCTCTTCTCGTCGCGCCAGGTCTGCCATCATTAATAACAAGCACAAAACCGATAAGTTCTCAAGTGCCGCGACTGCGGCTGGGTCTGTACGCACCGTCTTCGTTGTAGGTTGTGACGTTGGCCTGGGAGTAGATCTGGTCCTCGTTGTACCCGTCGAAGCCCGCCGGCTTGTCGTCGTCGTCGGAGCGGAAGGAGAGCGACGACTGCCGCAGGTTGGAGACGGCGGCCCGCTCGGCCGCCAGCAGCTTCTGGCACGTGTCCTCGAAGCACTTGAGCTGGTTCTTGTAGTCCGTCGACAGCTTGGCCACCTGCGTCTTGCGCGCGCGGCCACCCGCGGCCTTGGCGCCCTTGTCCAGCTCGTGCAGGCGGCGGTTGATCTTGGCCACGAGCTTGTTGCCGCGGTCCGTGAGCTCCGTGAGCTGCTGGTGGTTGGCGCGCGAGTCCTGCGGCGTGCCGAAGAGCGTCATCTTCTGCGCGATGGTGCGCGTGACCTGGTTGAACTGGCCCACGGCCTTGGACGTCTCCTGCACCAGCGCGTTGTAGTGCTCGGCCTCGCCCATCTTGGGCGAGTCGGCCGACATGTAGCTCATGGCGGGCGGGCGGAGGCGATGGAGGCGAGGAGGAAGTGCAGACCAAGCGGCAGGAAGCCCTCGAGCTAAATTCGGGTTGTGCGAGGGAACTGTATTTGGCCCCGCTGTCCGGTGGATTGTGTCCCATGCGCAAGACCGGGGCATCTGAAGTTCACGTTTGACTTGTTCTGTGTATGGCGCAGGAAGTGGGGACCGGTACACGATATCCAGCTTGCACCGGCTGGCTGTGAGACAGACCCGCACTCGTCGTGCTTTGCCGTCTGACCCCATCTCTGACGCCTGGAGCCGTTGGGGGTATAATTGTGTGGGGCTCGATCACAGAGCGTTTCGCCACCGCCGGCCCCATGAATCATGGCATGATGCTGTCGGTCGGTGTCCGAAGAAGCGCCGCACTTCAGATATTACGGCATGCGACATGCGCTATATCGCTGATTGGCTGAAAAATCGAACGCCGTGGACGCGACGCGTCCCTTACGTTGAAGTGGTCCCGTTGACGAGCATCGGCGGAGGCGGCGGCAGCGGCAAAGAGGCCCTTGTGCTCCAGATCAAAGCTAGCCGACCGCACCTTGGCCACTACATCGCCATCAGGGTGCAAACAGCGGAGCAATGGAGGCGGTGCGGCTTCCGCCGCTCTCTTTCTGTTGTCAGTGGCTTGTCTGCAGTCCAGACGAGTTGAGCTGAGTCACGTTCACGTTCAATGCACGAATACTGAAACGCAGCCCGAAGCTCTAATGCCCCTCCACCTGTATACTTTTCCCTGCTTATAATTCGCTTAGATAGAACTCTCCACCCGCCTGCCCCACCACGGTCTCTCATCACTCGCGAGCCACATATACAACTTCACCAGCGGTGGGGCTGCTTTTCTCTAAGAACTTGGCGGCTGCAGCGTCACCCACTGCATCAGGCACCATCGAAGACGACACCAGCCTTACGTCGGCCACCGACCCTCCGAGCTCGTCGAACACCACCAGCACGTTCGCCTGGTCCTTGACCAGCCAGTCCCGCGGAACGTGATAGTATCGCTGCACGAATTCGCCCTCGTCGTTGACGAGCCAGTAGCGTCCGAGATCGTGGCCGTTGATATAAGCGCGGCCACGCGTGAGCCCAATGCAGTCGAGCAGGATCGAAAATGGCTCACTGACGGGATCTGCCTCTGCTGGCAGCTCAAACGCTGGGTAGGAGAACGACGTCCAGTACCAGCTCATGAGCTGCCGTCCGCTAGCAACCACACGGGGAACTGGGGTCCACGGCACTGACGACAGCCATTCTGGTCGATAAATCTCCAACTGCTCGCCAACAAGGGTCGGGTACATCTCCCACTGGTGGCCCTTTGCCAAGTTCTTGCGTCCAACTCGAACCTTACCGGTCAGCCCTTTCGTGTGGTTGCTGCCGAGCGAGTAGATCCCCAAACTGACCGATACGAGCTTCAGGCTGTGCTGGCGAGTGACGTCGATATTGGTCGGTAGGGAAAACCTGAACTCTTTCGAGCAATTGCCTCCCGGATACGCTAGGTTTCTCTCACCAATCAGCCAGCCGTCGACAAAAGCAATAATACTGGACGCCTCACACGAGGTCACTTTCACCGTGGATGCGTCACTGTCGATGTCAATCGGAGTGTCGGCAGGGTCCACAGTAAACGTGGTTTCGTACGTCAGGTAGTCCGATCGGTCCGCCGTCAATCGAAGCTGCTCCACCGGTCGTTCGGCAACGACGCGCCTCCTGGGTGTAAGCGACGACACATTCAACTCACTCCAAGTTTCCCATTGAAGGGTAGCTGCCTGCACAATTGGCGTGTACGCCCGATGCACTGTACCCGGAAACGACTTACGTACATCCGCTGTGTTGAAGAGAAGAGCTCCATCCTTGATGATCATCATCGAGGTAGGCGCCAACTCGTATTTGTTGTCCCTGAACACAACCGTCACCTTTTTGTCGGCCTGATTCTCCAAGAATGCAACTTGGTTTGGTCCATCTTCCGCGCCATAGATAAAGGCACGCTGCTGGAGTGACGAAGCTTCTGCTGTTTCTCCGTGTGTCGGTGCCAATTCGTGAGGGTGCAGTAGTTGGCGGTCATTGCGCATTAATATATCGTTGCAATCAATCAACGCTTCATGAAGCTTGCGCAAGTGAGATCGCTTGGGTTCGTTGCTGAGACCATCGGAATGGAGATTGACACCGTCAGCATACTTGGTAGTCACTCCTGCTGATGCTGCTCTGCCAAAATTGTTGCCTCCATGATACATCTGAAGCGACACATCGGAGTCACACAAGTCAGGCCACCACCAAACTCCATTGTAACTAGAAAACGAATAGTACGCACATAGTAATTGTGTGCGGCACCACCAACCGCGAACCATCGAGCGACAGCGTATGCCATGTCTTCGGCAGTGCGTTGATCATTCGGCAAGGGGTTCTTCTTATCCTTCGCCCAAGTCTGGAACCAGCCCTCATCCTCCGTCCATACAAGTGGGTCAGAGGGGCGTTCCTTCACGTGTTTGACTGCAAAGTCGACACAGTCGTTGCCATTACACGACAAGATGGTGTTCTCGGCTGCATTCGCGTAGCACCTGCGCACCCCAGCCCAACAACAGTTTATCAGTGATCACCGACATCGTGAATAACAATTCGCTGGGACTTACATGACCCAGGGGATCGACGTGTCGAGCCTCTTGACCAGATCTCCACACCACTCGACATACTCGGGGTCGTGCATCGCGAACTCGTTCTCGATCTGCGCCATGATGATCGGCCCTCCATTCTTGGCCAGGAAGGGCCTGGAGAGCTCCACCATGTACGTCACGAACCTCTCCATCTCCCACTGCCAGGGTGCGTTGCTCGACCTGACTTTCATCCCTGGGATCCAGTTCAACCACAGCGGCAGGCCCCCATTACTCCACTCTGCGCACACGTAGGGGCCGAAGCGCACGTGCAGGAAGAGCCCCACCTCCGCCGCCAGCTCGTAGAACCTCGTGGCGTTGGCGTTCCCCGCGAAGTTGAACACGCCGCGCTCCTGCTCGTGCAGGTTCCAGAATACGTCTGTACCGTAGCAATCAATACAGAACAGAATAGAACACCATCAGTGACTATACTACCGCAGGCAAAGTAGAGCACTCTCCCCGGCCTACATACACATTTCGATATGGTTGAGTCCGTCCCTCTTGGCCGCGCGCAGCAGCGTCTCCCACTCCCCCTCCGAGCTGCGCGGGTAGTGGATGGAGCCGCCCAGCAGCAGCGTGCGCCGGCCGTCGATCTCAAAGCCGCGCGCCGAGTACGAGACGCTGTATCCGGCCTGGCGCTTGGCCGCGTCGATGTCCTCGTACGTCATGAACTGCGCCTCGGCCTGGGCCTTGGGCAGCAGCAGCGGGTTCGACACGCGCAGAGCGGGCGGCCGCACGCCCACGAAGCAGGCGACGAAGAGCACGACGGCCAGCAGCGCCACGTCCATGCGCTGCACACGGCGGCGCGCCCTTGCGGGGGGCGCCCTGGGCGCGTCCACCGGCAGCAGCGCCTCGTAGTCCGCCTCAGCTGAGAACATCTTTGATCAGTGAAGGAGACTATCTTTCAGATACGGGGATTCATGTTTATGGCCAATTGGTACAGTGTACCGATTTAGACGATGATTGCAGTGTTCACACGTCACATGTTGAAGTTGCCTTTTTGATGGTCGCTTGACGCCAGCTCTGCAGCACTTGGGCGAGGAACGCCCTGTGGCGCCGCAGGAAGAAGGTTTTGCACTTGAGGCGCTGACGGCGGGCTGGTAGTTGGGCCTGAAGCGCCGTGATGCCGGAGCGGAGCAGCCGCTGCCTGTGCGCGTGACGTCGGTGGTGGGCCACCAGTTCCTTCTTGAGCCACTGGTCCGTACACACGCTCTCCCAGTGGCTGAACCACGCCATGAGATCGCGATGCCGGCGTTTGGTGGCGATAACCTGCACGCCAGCTCGTCTTCGCGCTTGCTCGACTGCTATTCGACGCCACTGGTGGAGTCGTTGACGCCGCTGAGACTGCAGAGTCTTCTGACTCAAGACGCGCAGCTTCTGCTTGAACGCGGTGAACGCCCTCCACTGGTAGAAGCACTCGTCCGCGACGCTGCGGAAGTACCGACAGCGGAACGTCTCGACCTTGATCTTCAGTTGCTTCCTGTGCGTGATGTGGACTCGGAGAGCGCCGATGCAGCGTCTCAAGAGGTGCGTTCGAGCAAAGCCATCCGCCTGTATGCGCTGGAGCTTGCGGTACTTGGCGACGTCAAACCACTGCATAACACGACCCCAGTACTTCTGCTGGTGGCACAGCTGCCAGTGACTGCATGCGCACTTGATCAGACTGCGTTTGCGGTTGCTCTCGGTACATAGAGATCGCAGCGTGGCGACTACGCGGTGCTTGCGTCTTTGGACGAGCTGAGCTTTTAGATGAGATTGAAGCTGGATTAACTGCTGCGTGGATTGTCGTCGGTTGGCAAGCGCCTGGAAGCACCGATGCAATAGCGTTCTGTGGTAATGGAGTAGCGCTTGGCGCACAAGAGCGCGCTTGCGTCTCCAGTACCGACATCTTCCTTTCCAGAACGCAAAACTCTTTCTTGTAGAGAAGCGGTCACGGAAGTCAACAGCCAGTAAGATCGTGTCGCGCTCTTGTTGCTGCATGGTCACCCAAGTCTTCCACTTCTGCCACACGTCCACTTTGACGAGGTTGGCTCTGAACTTCATCGCCCCACGCAGTCTGTCGTTCAGCTGCTTCCTAGTCGTCGCATAGCGCTTCCAAGCGTCAAAGTGCGTCTGCGCTTGGAAATTTTCCTGGTAGAGAAACATTCTTCTCACCTGGCGCAGCACGTGAACCTTTCGCTTCCACAAGGTGCACATCGTGCGAAGTACTTTGGCGGTGTTGAACGCTCGAGCCATCTTGCTCTGCTTCCGGTCACGCACGGATATTCTCCAAGCGTTCAATGACCTTTGTTCCAAATGAACGCAGTGAAAAACCCTCGCCTGTAGCCGCTTCTCGTTCATGGACTGCCGCTGCTGCCAGAACGTTTTCCACCGACCAAACGCGTCTTCCTTTTGATTCTGCTGAAACACTCGCGTCAAATGGGCGTATCTTGCTCGCCACAGATGGTAGTCTCGCCAGCGCTGGAAGCTCGCGGCCAGCGCCTTGTCATCTCTAAACCTCTCCGCACGAACAATACACTCACGAGCTATCTTCTGCGCATCTCGCCAGTAAAGAAGCTTGTCGAGACCACGCACCAGACGTCTCCTGCTATAAAACTCCGTGGCTTTGACTTCGTTGTGGTGTTGCTGACTCCACGCTACAGCTCGCTTTCTCCACTTTCGGATAGTACGAGACAGCACGAGCACTCCAGACTTTCGTAGCTGAGCTTCCTGTCGAATTAACTGTAGTTTCCTGAGCTCCATGAAAGCTTTCCATTGGCGGAACCCCATGTGCGCGAGGCGATGCAAATTGCAAGATTCTGCCAGTTCTTTGTTATCTCTCTTCTCTTGTTCAATCGAGACCAGCTTCTTCCACGAACCAAGAGACTTTCGGAGAAGAACTTCAACCGAGTAGTAGCCCAGAATCCACACGAGCTGCTTCTCTTTTTCGTGCCGGCACGCGACGTACATCTGCCAGGCTTTCCAGGTCTTTTCTCGCAGGTTAGACGCTTGGAATTCAATCGCTCTTGCAACCTTGGCTCTCTGTTCAACGCGTTCTCTTACATTATGATACCATCGACGCAACAAAGCCGCCTGCGAGTACTCGAGCCGTCGGTAGCCCATTTCCGTGATGCGTCTACGCCAACCGACCACACGACACCAGCGAGACCAAATCATCCGCAAACACGAGACCCGATACAAGGTGTCACTCTTGTTCTGCCGTCCTTGAACGCATCGCTTTGTATGCGACCTCCACGCTGAAAAGTGTCGTCGTTGGTGATTGGTGTCATGCAGTTGGATCGCCAACAATCGCCGGTGTCTCTGCTTGCGTTTGATACCGACGAAGTGTTTCCACCGTCTCCACAGAAATCTCACTCCATTGATCCGACCGAACATCGCCGCTCTCACGACAGCCTGATGGAATTTCACCTGCTTGTTTAGGCGAACAACAGCCCGTTTACACAGGTATGCGGCATGGTGATCGTCTGCACGACGCAGTTGGGTCTGGTGATCATGGCGCTGTGCAATGTACGCTTTCCATTGAAGGAAGGTGGATCGGAAGAGGTTGCTCCGCAGTAGTTGTCTGGTCACTAGAATGTTGCGCCGAGCCTTCACAACGTACGCGCGGTGTTGATTCCAGCGAATCCAGACTTTCTGGAGAAGCAGCTTCCTACGAAACGTGTACGCGACGATGTAGAGCGTGCGCTTGCTCCGATAGCTCTTCCAGTTTTGAAACACTAGGCGACGAACAACTCGTGATCTGTGCTCAAGTGCGAGATTGAGCTGCCGTCTCTCAAATGCACGGAGCTCTGCAAACTTTTGCCATCTCTGGAACATCCGTGACAGCACTTTTCGCTGTCGTAGTCGAGTTGCAAACCTCCTCTTGGATACTTTGTGGCGAACGGCGTCGTTGTAGCCCTTCCATGCGCGGAAACACCGAGTCAACAATCGTTTAGAGCGAAAGCGAGAAGCCTGCACCTTCATCAATCGATTACTGGATAAGTGCTGATAGTTCTCATACCATTGACACACCGCCTTTGAGAGTCGTCGCGAGTTGATCTGCCTGACAGCGTGTGCTTCTTTGTGTCGCAATGCGGATGTTTTGAGCCACAAACTTTGCCAGTGGAACATCGCTAGACACAGAAGATATCCGTTGTAGAATTTGTTCGCGGTAGCGACTTGTTGCCGACGACGCCGACGTTCATGACAAAAGTCTGACCACTGCGTGACTCGAGCTTGGAGGCGTCTTTGCATGAGCGTGTTTCGCAACCGAGACGTGTTGAGCCTACGCTGGGCTGAACTTCGTGTCTCTCGATTCCAGGTTTGGAGAACTTTCACCAGCAAAGAGTCCTTATACGCGGTGATAGCCAAGTATTTCTTCTCATTTGACGCCCGACGGGCTTGTAGAAATTCAAACCAGGCGTAAAGCGAGCGACGCTGCAGAGTCTTCATGTGAAACTGAAGTGCGCCCCACTCCCTCGCTCGATCGTCCGCCCTCCGCCGCACAACCATATACCAAGCGTGCAGATAGCGTGCCATTGCCCTCTTTTCACGAACGTGCTGTCTATAGCGGAAGAGTTCTGATTGACGTCGGCGCTCTCTTGCTGCCATGTACCAGCACTGCAAGGCCCTGGTCGATATCCGACGAAAGTAGTGTGACAGTGCCTTGCTGTCTGCTCTCCGAGCTCTAGCTCTTCGATGCGAGAAAGAAGACCACAGTTCTACCGCCATGGCGTATCGACGTTCACGATAGTACTGAGTCGACACACTCATGATACCCCTCTCTTCTTTACGCTCTCGACACACGCGCTTCCATTCCACTAGTGACAGTCGAGTCAGCTCTTGATCCAACTTGCGAGTGGACTTGCAAACACGAACATGAACCATCCACAGCCTGAAGAGAGACTTGACTCGATGTCGAGACTGTTTCTTTCGGAAAAGCTTCACCAGCCGCTTGAAGCAGCGCATTCGCAGAGTAACTCCGAGCCACTTACTTACCACGCGATGGAGCAGAGCGGCTTCATGTCGAAGGCGTTGCTGGTCCACAATATTCCTTCGCGACACCTTGGTTCTGCTCCATTCGTGCCAAGCTTGGAAATGGTTGGCAATGGTCGTATTCCTGCGCTTCAGCTCGCATGACGACGCCATCGCTTTGACGTGCAACCACCGCATCCAATGAGTCACGAGACCTTGCAGTAGGAGAGTATTCCAACGCTTTGACACGACAATTTGTACGGAATGAAGGTGTTTGGACCTCGCTGCTTGCTCCCGCCAACTACGAACAACTCCGCTCAATATTCTCGTATCAACTGAACGCTGAAAGGTTTTCAGTCTTGCGCTTTTCTGCCCAATGGTGAGCCACAGTTCAAACGCTCTGGCCGTTAGTTTGCGTTGATGCCACCGCGTTGCTGTCCTCACTTGGCCTCGTCGACTTTGGTTAACCTTAACAGCAGATCGAAATGCTTGAACCCCGATCCTTTTCACGTTTAATTCATAATATCGACGAGCTTCGTCCAGTACATGCTTCCGATCTCTCCTCCACTCTAGAAACTGAATCCAGGCTCTAACCGCGCGCCGTAGAGATATTCGATACCGGAAAAAGTCTGCTAGTAAAACGTGGCGTGAGCATTCTTCCCTTCGCGCCATAAATCGCCTCCATCTCCTCAGTCCACCGGATAAACCGATTCGCTTCTCGTGGTCAATTGACAGAAGATAAAGTGGGTCCTCAAAAACAGCGTCTCTCCACTTGCGAAGCACCGAGAGCTGTACGTTGCTACGGTAGTGTGCAATGGCATCGGCACTTCTCCATCGTTCTCGTTGGGCATAACATGTCCCCTCCTCAAAAGATCGGAGCACCAGACGCAAATGCCTTCGATACCTCTTCGCTGTGAACTCACAGCACTTCTGCGTCTGTAAAACGCATTGATGCCAGTGCTGAAAGCCACTAGCCTTTAGTTGAGCTGATCTGGCGTCTTGTCGCCGACGGATCTCGCGTTCAACTCTGCAATGGCGTTTCCAGTCATAGAACACCCGTTGTTTGACGGAGGCCCAGTGGAACCGATCGGCATCTTCGAGTCGCTTTCGTTGCGACTTGCAGATGTCACTGCCGCGTTTCCACGCTCGGATGAAGCTCTGTAGCTGCTTCTGGCGACGGAAATCCGTGGCTCGTACGAGTTGGTGCACGCGTTTCTTTCGTGACCGATCCACGCTACCTTTCCACTGGCTGAAGCACGAGTAGATCGAGCGCAGCTCTGTTCTAAATTGGCGACGCCTTTCCTCGGAGCGTGCGGCGACCAAAACCTCTTTCGTTGCAGTAAAATCCTTGCTCTTCTTTAAGCCTGGCTCATCAATGCCATCCTGTGTCATCTTGGTCATTGCACTTGCTTTGGAATACTCGGGCGAACTTCGGTTGTAGTTCCGACTGTTCTCTGTCTCCTCAGCACTCGACCGACCTGTATGGCGCTTCAGGATCAGGTTTCGTCGTGGCGGGGGCAACCCTTCCATGTCGTAACTAGCGCGAAGCGGTTTGCTTGGTCGAGAATGGCGGTGGATCTGCTTCGCTGACCGACGAAGGGCGAAGACCACCCACTTCCACGCCGAGAAGTGCGACTCGATCACTTTCCTCCTCCAGTAGAACAAGGCAATGAACATCTGCTGATCGTCCTCGTCCATTGTCGTCACGTACACTTCTTCGGATTCCTCAGCTCTTGGTGGCGACAATCGTTCGCCTGGTACCTGTGGCCGAAGGAGGGATCGCTTGGAGGTCGAACGCGAGGGCTAGACTCAACAAAGGCAGCAAACTATCAGTAACGCTTAGGGTTGCAGTCTACAGTAGAGACTCTCACGGTGAAGTCGCGGTATGCACCCGCTGGCATCGGGTTCCTCGCTCTTTCAGGCTGACGACCGTACACCTACCAACAACCCAGTACGATAAATACTAACGACAAGGTATTACACTAGCTGAAGCAATGAGAGCGTACCTTTCCTGCGGTCTTCTGTCGCTGCATTGGGTGAACTCGGGCTGCTGCCCCTCTGCGGTACGCTGCTGCGCCTTCATCGTTCGACGACGACTCGGATGAAGGCGGAGAGGAAGAAACATCAAAGTCTGCTTCTTGTGGGTACCGGTGAAGGTGCCGACGTGGGGACGTGGTCCAGCTCGTAGGCATCCTGGCCGTCCGTCCCTCTTACCCCAAACCGAGCTGGGACTTACCTACTAAAGTCCCCAACCAGTCGACTGGAAACCATGAAACGACGTGCCGCTTCCAGGCGCCGGTAACGTACGCGAACCAGCCCAATCACTTATCACTTGGTGGTTTGTGCGAGGTACCGCACGTACACGCCCTTGTACACGAGCTCGAATATCTGCGCCTGGACGTCGTCGTAGATTGTTTGCTGCAGTTTCTTGCCGGGGGTCGTGATGGCCTTCTTGATTTTCTTGCGCTGTGCCGCTGTAATGACTTTAATGCGGCGCGACTTGATGTAGGTGAGGTACGTTGCCACAGCGCGTGAGCGAAGGGTTTTGCTATCGAGTCCATCCTGTGTACATCAAACATATCGTGGCGTCATTAAGAGAGATTAATCGGAAAGAATTCCAGCTTCTCAGCGGCCTACCTCTTTGAATTCCTCGATCGAAATCCAAAACGTCACAAGGTCTTCAGCGAATTCCTGTCTTGCAAACGCTAAGAAGGTGGCTAAGCCCTCGGGGTCTTTCATCATGAGGCGTCGAAAGCTCTCCAAGTGCCTAGAGTGGACAATAAGCAGCATTAGATTTTGTGGTCGTACCCCCCCCCCCCCCCCGATTCAGCCAGTTAACGTACTTTTCGCTTTCGTTGGCCAGTTGTTCAAGACGCCTCCTCTCCTGCTCCATCTTCTCCAGTGTGACAAGGTCCTCCTTGCCCATGTCGGCCATCTCCCGCTTCGAAATGAACTCGTCCAACTGCTCTCGGATTTCTTTCAGAAGTTTGTGCGAGGTCGGAAGTGCTCGTACACGAAGGCTGTGCACGTGGCGGCACGCTTGAACTGCCTCGTGATAGCGCTCCATCGCGTCCTACAATACAATACATACAACTCCGCTTGTCAAGGGTGTATCTCTACCAACATTGACTACATGAACCACGCTTACGAGGCTTTGAAGTAGCATTACAGTAGCCATGAGGGTGTCCTTGTGATCAAGGGGTAGCACGCTTTCAAACAGTGAAAGTGCTTCTTGCATCGTGGTGATGCACTGGTCGTGCTGAGTTGTCTGCTGTTGTAGGGAATGAAAGAGTGCCAGAAATTTAGTTGGCAATACTTCTCGCCACACATGTGCGCCGTACCTGAAGGATGCGAGCCTTGCCGATTGCGACCTTCAGCATGGTAGGGTGAAGAATGCCTAACGAGTCTGTGACTAGTTTATTCACCTGTGCCAGAAGCTCTCGAGCCTTGTCATACTTCTTTTGTGTAGTATAAAGTGCTGCGAGTTCGAGCTCAGCAGGCTGCGAGTACACTGTCTCTTCTCCTGCTTGAGCTGCATGCTTCGCGGCGGCGACTGGAACGTTAATTTGCATCTGCGAGATGGCTTTCTCCTTCGCGATCCGCTGTTTCCGCTGGTACTTCTCCACCTCCGGGTCAACTGAACTCGGTGACACAACCGTATAGGGAACAGGATCATCCCCGAGTATTAAGCTCCGCATTTCAGCGACGCAGTCAACACTCTTCACGACGGCGTACTGAAGGGAGTTCTCCTGGTTCGTTTGGGCCACTACTAGGCGTTCGTGCCCTACATACAGCTCCGGAGTCAGCTCTTCGTACTGATGATGCCGTCGATGAGCTAGCTCATGCAGGCGCGCATTGCATTTATCACACAGCACCTGGTCACAGGAAGGACAATGCTTCCGCCCTCGACTCTGTTGGCAGTTGTCACAAGTAGGGAACTTCAGTCGACCGGCTGGATCCGATGGTAATGGAGCAATCAGTCCGTTCCGGCGGCCTCGGACTCTTGCAGCCAGAATGCGCGCTCGTTCCTTCTCGTACAATTTCAGCCGATGTTTGTCTCTCTTCAGCGTTTCCTGACGAATCCCCCACTTCCGAATAGCTGGATCGTTGTTGCCTTGCTCCTCACTTTCATCTTCGTCTTGGTCAAGCTGTACACTTGCCGTCTCATCAACGGAGCGGCTGCTGTCATCACTTGCACCTTCGAGACTCAGTGAGATGTCCGCTTGTGCCAACGAAATAGAGTACTCGGATTTCAGGAAGCTCATGGAAGGGGCGATATTTCCTAGCGCTAGCGCAGGGATACTGTTGTTGTCGCTATTACCACGAGCACGGTGCTTCATTGTGTATTCGATGGCAAGGTCCGGGTGGTCATAGGAATTCAGATAGTAAAACGCATCATGACCTGAAAAGTCCCGAGTCGACAGGCTGCAGCCAGACTTCATTAACAACTCCATCATGGCGACATCGCCGCGTTTGCAAGCAATCATCAAGGCGTTGATTCCTTCGCGGTTCTGGTGGGTTGCAATGCAGTGGCTCTTGAGGCAAAATACGACGTCGGCATACGTTCCGCTACTGCAGACAACTAACAGAGGCGTGTTCCCCTTGGCGTCTTCGTAGTTCGGACTGAGCTGGAAATCTTCACTCGACAAGAGTTCTCGAATCCTGACCAGATCAATATTGTGCATTACCTTGTGCATTTCCGCCCTTCGTTTCTGCCGAAGCACTCGGTTCGTTGACAAGGAGCTTAGTACTTCGCCGTCCTCCTCTTCGTCTTCAGCTTTGAGCTGTGCCAGCAGGTTCGCGCTGGCGATAGAGCTATTCAGAATCGACACAATGGCCGAGTTTCGTAGCTGAATGGCCCAGTCAAGTGCCGCTTTCCCGTCGCGATCCCGAAGCTCTTTACTCGCTCCGTAGGCCGACAGAATCCGGAACAAGTCGACGTTTCCCGAGATTGCGGCCTGAATGAGCGTCGACCTGCCAACAGCGTTCACCCCGTCGACATTCGCTCCATGCTCCAGTAAGGCTCTGAGTATCTCCTCGCGACCTTTATCAGCAGCTAATAGGACGGCGTTGATGTTGTTCTTCGTCTCATGATTTAGGTCTACCTTAAACTCGACCAGAATACTCAAAGCAACGATGTCCCCCGTCATGACGACAGCCAGCAGAGGTGTGATGCCGCCTTTGGTCTCTGTATTCGGAGATGCGCCTAGCTCCAGCAATTGGCGCAACACGCGCAACTTTCCCTTAAAGATCGCGACCAGTACAGGCGTGAATCCGTTCTCGCTCTCGTGGTTCAATAGCTCCGGGGATCGATTTCCTGATGACGCAGTGGCCGGGTCGAAGAGAGGCACGAGTCGGTCCCAATGCTGGTGGTAGACTGCATGCTCCACCTTCTTCCTCACACTTGACGCGAAGAACGAGTGCATCAGTTGCGAGAGCTTGTTCCGCTTCGCGGGGAGCGCGTTCAGTCGGATTTTCGCCTCGTGGGACTTCTTCAGCGCCAGCTCCTTCTCCGCTATTCGAGCTTCAAGCAGTCGCAGTCGCTGGAGTCCAGCAGCGCCCGGAGTCGACAGCGAGAGACCGAGCTCCAGCATCTTCTTCCTCGTCCTGGAGATGGTCGCGTACAGCTTCAAGTCCTCCAGCCGCTGAGCCTCCAGCCTCTTTCGCTCTTCTTTGTCCCGATACCAGGCCTCCATCGTGACTGAGAGCTTCTCCTCCTCCTCCATCTCTCGACATCGCGCGGCCAGCTTCTGCAGCTCCCGCTCGCGTGCCTCCGCCTCGCGCTTCTTGCGCTGGAGCTCGCGCTGCTGCCGCCTCACCGCCGCCTTCCGCTTCTGCTCCAGCCGAGCGTGAGCCTCCAGCCACTCCATCGCCTTGGCCCTCAATGAGTCAACTGGCAGCAGATTGACACAGACCAAAACTGCACCTGCAGTCCGTCCTCTATTTTTGCAGCCACTTTGCCACGCACTACCCAAGCACCAAGCAGAGAGCCACTTGATTTCTTCAGGTGCCGAGAGACTAGATGGCAGTTATCGGGGCAATTGGCCATCAAGTGTCCGGAGCCATCCATGAAAGTCTCTCGCGTTGTCCTCATTGCGCTCATTGTGCGCAGCGTCGCAGATTTTCGGGCGCTGGCCAATCAGCGCGCAGGTGACGAGGCACTGCAACTTGCCCTCAGCTCCCGTTGCTTCAGTCCGCGTCCTTCAGTAGCGAAAATGACTCTCCCGATTCGCACCTCCAGCTACCGCCTGCGGTCTCGAGAGAAATCCCAGCAAGCGGACGCGGAGCTGACGGCTCGGGACGCCCCCGTTGACGCGCCTTTCGCCGCATTGCGCCATGAGACACCAGTCGTCGAGGCCAAGCTCGAGTCCGCGGCGCTATTCTCCCCGTCCTCGACCTCGGTCATGCAGGGCCACGCGCTGCTGCAGCTCACGCACAAGCTCATGGCCATGATCGCGCAGCCGGCCAAGCTCCTTGCAGCGCTGGTGGCCGACTGCGGCGAGCGCACGTCCAAGCAGACCTTCTGGCTGCGGGCCACGGCCTACCAGCACGCGGAGCTGCGCGGCCTCGACGACGCGTGGTGCGGCATCGTGGAGGAACCGGATCGGTACGAGCTGGGGCCGACCGACGTGATGCTGCTCAAGGCGGCGCTGTACTACTGGCGGCTGTGGCAGTACGTGTGCATCCTGTGCGTGGACGCCGTGGCCCGCATCGAGGATACGGCGATGCAGCAGCAGCAGCCGCAAACGCAGCCCCGACAAGAGCCCAAGCAGTGGACGAGTCTGCTGCAGAAGCGCGAGGCCCCCTCCATCTCGCCCTCGTTCGAGGACCGGTGCTCGGACGCGCTGTCGCAGGGCATGGTGCTGTCGGGCCCCGGCCTGGCCAAGCGGTCGCGCATCACCAAGCGCTCGAACGAGTTCCTCGTGGCCTGGTTCCTCGCGCACAAGGACAACCCGTACCCGTCGTCGGAGGAGCGCACGGAGATCGCCGAGAAGACCGGGCTGGCCGAGCAGCAGGTGCGCAACTGGTTTGCCAACATGCGCAAGCGCCACTGGAAACCCAACCGCACGAACGCCAAAAAGCCGCGCTGTCTGCTGGACTACGTGCTGCGCCAGACGGAGGCCTGAGCGTCCAATGTCCCTCCCGCGTGTGTGTCTCTTCCTCCTTGTAGCTGCGCTGGGTGCGTCAGCTTTCCTCTCCCCCAGCTCAACCCAACTCAACTCAACGTAATGCACCTGTACGAGCCTGTAGCACCATAAACACAACCACCTCCCTCCATCTCTCTGCGTGAACCCATATAAGTAGTAAGAGTCGACGTCGTCGTACATTTTTCTGCTGGATTTTCATTGAGTTTCTTGCTGTCTACGCGCGTGCGAGGGCAAGTGCGGTCGTCTAGTCCTCCTCGAGCGTGGGGGCCTCGCCGATCTCGCCCTTGACGAACTTGTACTTGCCGCCGGCGCGGAACACGTTCTTGCCACCAGCAGCCGCGGGGGCCGTCGGCAGCGTGGCGGGCTTGAGGCCCAGCGTCTCCTCCTTGAAGGCGGGCGTGAGGGCGGGCCAGGCCATCCAGCCGACCAGCAGAGCTCCGGGGGCGCCCCACGGGGCTGCAACACAAAGAACAAGAGGTCAGAACATTGAGAGGAGAGGCAGCAGAGATGGAGGAATCAGTTGGCAGCACGCACCGAGGCCGACGAGCTCCTTGGCGAGGTGAGTCACGCGAGCAACGGACATGGCGAAGGCGGTGGGGAGACGAAGGAGGTCGAGGGGATCGATTCCGCGGGGGCTTGTGAGTGCGGCTAATCGAGCGGCTGCCAACCGCCCTCGCTCCGATTGGCTGGAATTGCGTCCAATCCGATAGGAGGTTCACAAAGACACGAGCAGACCTGCGAAACCGACTACAAGTTGAAGTGGATGAAAGATAAGAGGTTTCATAGGCGCGGGGATCAGCGCACTACTGCAGCACGCCAGAAGCAAGACGACCCGAGCAGCAGTAGCTTGCTGTCGACAGGGAAGGAATGAGCAGCCCTGAGCAAGTAACTTCGAACTGGCAACTAGTCTTTTCAACATCGAGCGAGAGGAGCTGCCCGACTACATGTACCGCTGAGCTGTCGTAAGCGTGCCTAACATCATAATCTGCCAGACGAACCCTGCTTCGCGTGCTGAGAGGGCTACCGAGCACAACTTTGAAGACACTCTAACATCTCCAGCATTTGTCGGCACGAGCGTGTGTTTAATAGAAGTAGAATGAGGTCAAGGTTGCCACCAACGCGCTGCACGCATAAATTCCTGCACTCGTGCTACGTTCTGGACCGCGAGCAACGGAGACCGCTAGGCGGCTTTGGCATGGTTAAGAACCACCACAAAGAAGGCGCCGCCGCGGATTCTTGCGAGTACATTTATACAAGTTGAGGGTGAGTAGAGAGCACAGAGTGCAGAACATTTGTATGATGTATTTGCTATTGCTCCTACGGTTTTATTTTCTTTGTGAGTAGCGCAAGGTACTAAGCTGGCAGCAAGGTGAAACTTGTGGGGCTTAGTGTTGTATTTATACTGGGATAGCAGTGGCCGATAGGTCATGCTGCTAGGCAGCCCAAATCGGGTTAATTCGCGCCTCGGTAACTGAAGCCAGTAAACTGAGGCCGGTATCGTGGTCCTTTGTCACTGGCTGTCTTTCTCCTGGTGACCCGGTAACTGGAGCTGGTAACTGAGTCCGATCTCGAGTCACTTGACTTCAGCCATTCGCATTCTAAAGCAACCGGCACCTACGTACGTACCTATCCCCCTGCTTTTCCTTTATCTCGCGAACTATTGCTCAGTACAGCCACAAGTTCCCTACACTAACATGGTCGCGCGTTTTTCGCCATAATTCGCCACTATCAGGTTCACTACGACGCTGAACTCGAGACGTGGTTTCGGCTGACTGTTGTAGTTGACGTCGCAGGCCGTGTCTACCTCGGTCTCGCTGATAGGCGCCATGGGACTACAGCTATTGTGCAATTTCACATTCTACCACTAAACCAAGCAGCCGGCCTACGTACCTAGCCACCGCACTAGGGCCCCGCAATGGCTAGGATAGGGGTCTTTTGACCGTATCTGTAGTTGTTTTGTTTTTAGTTTATAGCAGGCTTTTTATCATTACCCATTGGCGTCTCCTGCGCCTGCTTCGCAGCCGCAGCATCTACCTGGTAATGCGATCTGAAAGTAGATACTGTCTAGTAAGTTTGGAGCGGTATGAGGACAACACGAGTTTTAACTACGAAGTACAAATGCAGTAGCTACAAGACCGAATGTGTGACCGCAGGAGACACTTACTCTATGTCTGTAGTATAGCCCTCAATTATATCAAACTTTGACATTGAGCAGACTATTTTTTTTAGAAATCCTTAAATTTCAAAGCTTACGACTACGTTAATGGCCCCACGACCGCTACGTGCGGCGATATTGCAGCTGGGGGGGGGGGGGGGTATACGGCGCGCATCTTGGCGCTAGAAGTCGTGGTCTACAGATAATTTTCAGGGTACAAACAATGCAAAAGAAAACAAAACGCAACGTTAACTATGATACAATATATTCAATGCTCCAGGTTTCTCATAAAGATCGCCCATGAAGCTGATAGTTCTTCCTCTCACTTGCTAGGCAAGAGAGGCGACGAGTAGTTAAGCTTTGAGGTTGTGCTCGCACGCCTTGATAGTCGTCGTAATACTACTGCTGTGGTGAAAGTTCTGGCTGCCCGTAAATTTGCTATCCCAGCCTATGCGTAGCCCTAGTCATGTTAAGTGTTGGGTGCGGGGTTGCACGCAATTGTTTCAGCAGAGCAAATCTCCTAATCAAAATATCAATGTTTATCCAGAGCGTGAAGCATCGTATGAACTTGCGAATCGCAATCGCAAGTTGCGATAGCCTTTTTGAGCCAAAGGCCTATTCTGAATGGAGACGACCGGCACCAAACACTGCGCAAGCCGCGTGCTAGCTTCAGCCCTTGCGTGCTGGTACCGGCCAACCAAAACGAATTGACGAGACCTCCGTTTGATTCGCGCACCGAGATGGATCGACCTCGCGCCTTTTGGGCCGACGACCGCCCGATAATAGATTCTCGAGCTGGAAGAGGATATGCGGCGCTCGACGCGGGCGCTGTTGTTGCTGCTGCTTCTGTCACTGCTCCTGACGTGGATCCGCCCTGTTGTCCATGCTGCCATCACAAGTGCGAGGGTGTCACCTGCGTCGCTGAGTGCGGGTGAGGTTAGCGACGTCACTGTCACGTTCACGAGCGGGGTGGACGTCGATGTGGGCGGCTCCGTGCTGGTCCAATTCACAACAGGGTTCCAGATTTCCAGCGCCACTACAGTATCCGTACTGACTTCAGGAAGCGCCACCACGTTGTCAGTGTCATCTGTCTCGACAACGCCGTTATGGGTGCAAGTCGGGGCTGCCAAGATCTCGGCAGGCGTTGAATTCCAGTTCTTAATTGGAGACGTCACCAACCCAGGAGCTCAGACGACGAAAGACTTTACAATCACCACCTTTGACGCCACCAACGCTGAGCTAGAGACGAATACTGCTGTGCCAGCGGTGACCATCGTAAAGACGACGCTGGCCGGCGCTGCCGTGGCACCCGACAGCCTGAACGCGGGCGTGGCGGGGACGGCCACCGTCGCGTTCACGAGTGCCGTGGGTCTGCCGATCGGCAGCGTGGTCAAGGTGACGTTCCCGAGCGACTTCACGGTGGCGTCCGCGACGCTGTCTTCTGCGACGAACATCGGCAGCTCCAGTTCGGTGGCGGCGGCAGGCTCGGTGGTGAGCGTCACGGTTGCAGGCAGCGCGGTGGCGGCGGGGGCGAGCGTGTCGTTCAAGCTGGACGGCGTGACGAACCCCGGAGCGAAGACGACCGGCACGTTCGCGCTGGCGACCTTGGACAGCTCGTCCAACATCTTCGAGCAGGCCACGGCGATCAGTGCGGTGACCATCGTGAAGACGACGCTGGCCGGCGCTGCCGTGGCACCCGACAGCCTGAACGCGGGCGTGGCGGGGACGGCCACCGTCGTGTTCACGAGTGCCGTGGGTCTGCCGATCGGCAGCGTGGTCAAGGTGACGTTCCCGAGCGACTTCACGGTGGCGTCCGCGACGCTGTCTTCTGCGACGAACATCGGCAGCTCCAGTTCGGTGGCGGCGGCAGGCTCGGTGGTGAGCGTCACGGTTGCAGGCAGCGCGGTGGCGGCGGGGGCGAGCGTGTCGTTCAAGCTGGACGGCGTGACGAACCCCGGAGCGAAGACGACCGGCACGTTCGCGCTGGCGACCTTGGACAGCTCGTCCAACATCTTCGAGCAGGCCACGGCGATCAGTGCGGTGACCATCGTGAAGACGACGCTGGCCGGCGCTGCCGTGGCACCCGACAGCCTGAACGCGGGCGTGGCGGGGACGGCCACCGTCGCGTTCACGAGTGCCGTGGGTCTGCCGATCGGCAGCGTGGTCAAGGTGACGTTCCCGAGCGACTTCACGGTGGCGTCCGCGACGCTGTCTTCTGCGACGAACATCGGCAGCTCCAGTTCGGTGGCGGCGGCAGGCTCGGTGGTGAGCGTCACGGTTGCAGGCAGCGCGGTGGCGGCGGGGGCGAGCGTGTCGTTCAAGCTGGACGGCGTGACGAACCCCGGAGCGAAGACGACCGGCACGTTCGCGCTGGCGACCTTGGACAGCTCGTCCAACATCTTCGAGCAGGCCACGGCGATCAGTGCGGTGACCATCGTGAAGACGACGCTGGCCGGCGCTGCCGTGGCACCCGACAGCCTGAACGCGGGCGTGGCGGGGACGGCCACCGTCGCGTTCACGAGTGCCGTGGGTCTGCCGATCGGCAGCGTGGTCAAGGTGACGTTCCCGAGCGACTTCACGGTGGCGTCCGCGACGCTGTCTTCTGCGACGAACATCGGCAGCTCCAGTTCGGTGGCGGCGGCAGGCTCGGTGGTGAGCGTCACGGTTGCAGGCAGCGCGGTGGCGGCGGGGGCGAGCGTGTCGTTCAAGCTGGACGGCGTGACGAACCCCGGAGCGAAGACGACCGGCACGTTCGCGCTGGCGACCTTGGACAGCTCGTCCAACATCTTCGAGCAGGCCACGGCGATCAGTGCGGTGACCATCGTGAAGACGACGCTGGCCGGCGCTGCCGTGGCACCCGACAGCCTGAACGCGGGCGTGGCGGGGACGGCCACCGTCGCGTTCACGAGTGCCGTGGGTCTGCCGATCGGCAGCGTGGTCAAGGTGACGTTCCCGAGCGACTTCACGGTGGCGTCCGCGACGCTGTCTTCTGCGACGAACATCGGCAGCTCCAGTTCGGTGGCGGCGGCAGGCTCGGTGGTGAGCGTCACGGTTGCAGGCAGCGCGGTGGCGGCGGGGGCGAGCGTGTCGTTCAAGCTGGACGGCGTGACGAACCCCGGAGCGAAGACGACCGGTACGTTCGCGCTGGCGACCTTGGACAGCTCGTCCAACATCTTCGAGCAGGCCACGGCGATCAGTGCGGTGACCATCGTGAAGACGACGCTGGCCGGCGCTGCCGTGGCACCCGACAGCCTGAACGCGGGCGTGGCGGGGACGGCCACCGTCGCGTTCACGAGTGCCGTGGGTCTGCCGATCGGCAGCGTGGTCAAGGTGACGTTCCCGAGCGACTTCACGGTGGCGTCCGCGACGCTGTCTTCTGCGACGAACATCGGCAGCTCCAGTTCGGTGGCGGCGGCAGGCTCGGTGGTGAGCGTCACGGTTGCAGGCAGCGCGGTGGCGGCGGGGGCGAGCGTGTCGTTCAAGCTGGACGGCGTGACGAACCCCGGAGCGAAGACGACCGGCACGTTCGCGCTGGCGACCTTGGACAGCTCGTCCAACATCTTCGAGCAGGCCACGGCGATCAGTGCGGTGACCATCGTGAAGACGACGCTGGCCGGCGCTGCCGTGGCACCCGACAGCCTGAACGCGGGCGTGGCGGGGACGGCCACCGTCGCGTTCACGAGTGCCGTGGGTCTGCCGATCGGCAGCGTGGTCAAGGTGACGTTCCCGAGCGACTTCACGGTGGCGTCCGCGACGCTGTCTTCTGCGACGAACATCGGCAGCTCCAGTTCGGTGGCGGCGGCAGGCTCGGTGGTGAGCGTCACGGTTGCAGGCAGCGCGGTGGCGGCGGGGGCGAGCGTGTCGTTCAAGCTGGACGGCGTGACGAACCCCGGAGCGAAGACGACCGGCACGTTCGCGCTGGCGACCTTGGACAGCTCGTCCAACATCTTCGAGCAGGCCACGGCGATCAGTGCGGTGACCATCGTGAAGACATCCCTAATTGGATTATCGTTCAGAGCGGATAACGCAATTGCTGGCGTGGATTCGATTTACAATGTGGTTTTCGAGATGAATGTTGATGTACCGACGAATGGATACGTTGTCTTTGAGGCATCAAGCGATTATGCACTTTCTGGAAGTATTGTATTGGAGGACCCACTGTTATCGTCAACGTGGAGTGGAGAAATCAGTGGCCAATCCGTTAAGTTTCAAGCCTTGTCAGGTTACACCGCGGGGCAGCATAGTGTTCAAGTGAAGTTTCTTCAGAACCCAGGTAACCACTTCTGGCTTTAGGCGTTGCTAACTGCATTTCTCATTTTGTAAATTGCTACTTTGCGTGGGCCAGGAGCATCTACTACCGGAGCCTTCACAGTGTCTACGACCGATGCAGACGGATTCATTCTGGAGAGCGCAAGCTGTGGAGGTGTTGTGATTGTACCAGGGTCTATTACCGACGCAGTGCTCACCCCGCAGTTGCCTCACCCGGGCATTGCTTCTCGAGTTGACATCTCTTTCACCGCATCAGCGGGGCTGGCAAAGGACAGCCTTCTAGCGATTTACTTACCTGCAGGCGAATATGATGCTGCTGTCTCAGTCATCTCGGTTGAGGTAGCAGCGCCTTCAAGTTTGACTGCTACCGCTTCGTGGAACAGTACGACCTCAACTATCCTGATCCTACTGACCAGCTCGACGATGATTCCTCATGGGGCTGCAGTGAATTTTCAAGTTACAGCGCTTGACTTGCCCCAATCTGTCCGCGCAGCATCCTCTTCTGGAATGATAGCGAGCTGGAACGCCAAAGGGCTTCAACTGGATGACGTGAGTTCAATAACGCTGAGTGCAATTACCGCTGTTCAGGGCCTCCCCTGTACGTGGGCCACGGAGACGCCAAATCCAGGCATTACGTCCAACGTGCTGGTTACGCTCAAAACAAACGGTATGATCCCAGTAGGCGGCACAATTTCGCTATCGTTGCCATCGTCCGACTTTTCCGCGAGCTCAGCAGGAAATTTACCCTTGGTCGTCTTCAAATCTCCCAGCAGTGTTGTCGGTGCCGCATCGTGGAATGCCACAACAGCATCTCTCGATATCTTCATCGCAAATGACTCGATTCCGGCGTACAAAGCGGGCGTGCAAGTGAAGATCGTGAAGCTTGACACACCAGGATCCGTTCGCCTTGCTTCGCGGTTGCCAGCCACTTTGACGACGTTCGACCCACTGGGAATCGAGATCGACGGCCCGAGTACTCTTCAACTGGACGCGATCACTGCGGGCTACATACTGGGGAGCCGCATCTGGACGGCAGTGAATGCGGTGGCCGGAGTGACCAGCGACCAGACGATCGAGTTCTTTATCAGTGGCAAGATGGATCCTGGCGGGACGTTTGAATTCACGCTACCCGATACGCAGTGGAATATGGCCGCGACGGGCCTTGCAACGTTTACTTCTCCAAATCTTGGGGCCGTTGGCTCGGTTGTGTGGGATGAGCCCACGCTGATGATGACCGTGACGTTGACCGGCACGGTGTCGCTGCCGGCTTACACTGGGGTGACTCTGGTCATTCAAGACGTGACGAATCCGCCGAAGGAGACGTGGATCAACAACGCCTACCTCACGACCAGAGCAGCTGACGGCAGCATCATTGATGGACCCGATACCATTTCAGTATTGACGATATCTCGAGGGGCACTGACAGGGGCAAAGTCGTGGACTTCGGTGACGACCGCAAGCGCCAGCATGCAAAGCGACCAGCTACTGAGCTTCACACTGAGTGGGGCCCTGCCTAGCGGCAGTATTATCGTAACTACTCTACCTCCGGGCGGTTGGCGAATGATCAATAGCGCGTCAGTGGCGGTGTCGTTCTCACTCCCAGCGTCGGGAGCAACTGTTCAGTCGGCCGTTTGGTCTGCGGACAGCTATGAACTGTGTATCGTCACTGCCGGCAGTCTCAGCGAGGGAACATCAGTGGAACTCCTAGTGGCGGGCATGATGAACCCGTATTCCAATGCAGATCCGGGTGTATGCACGGTATTGACGATGCTAGCAGACTCGGGGGTAGTAGACGAATCCAAAGACGTCGTCGTGAACGCGATAGTGAGCGAGCAATTACCGACGAATGGCTCGTGGGCGTCAGCCATTGCTACGCCAGGGGTTCTGTCGTCGCAGACACTCATGTTCACAACCGGCGGGAAGTTAGAGCCTGGAGCAGCGTTCTGCATCACAATGGAGGACACGTGGACGCGTATGGCTTCGACTATCGCCACACTTACCTTGGCTGGGAGTACGCAGACCTCTTCGTTGACCCTCACAGTTGACAAGACTACGGGCACCTTTTGCATGCAGACTGCCGTGGCCATCGACCAAGAAACGGATGTGAATATCGCCTTGACTGACATTCTGTCTCCTGAATCGGTTCGTCCTGAGAGGATGGCGTCTCTGCTAATTGAGAGCCACCTTGGAGGAAGTGTGAATACCGGTTTCGTTCGCATCAATGCAATCACCGCAGGGATGTTGACTGGCCCGCTAACATGGCAGACAGTGGTTTATAGCCCTGGCCCAGTGGCGGGTTTAAGGACCTCCGCGAACCTGGCGCTTAAGACAAGGGGGCAAATCGCAGCGGGAGGATTCATCCAGGTGGAGCTTCCGTTCGAGTGGGTCCTGGCGTCAACATGCCAAGCAAACTTCATTCATCCGTCGGTGCTTGGTACAGCTTCCTGCAGTCAGAACAACATCAGCATCCTGTTGTCGGACCCTCTCGTCGAGGCGACAGACCTGAACATTTCATTCGCAGGGGTCTACAATCCCTCCCTCGTGATGCCTGAAGGAGTCGCATCGGCTCGGACTCTTGCTGCTGATGGAGGAGAGATCGACGTAACCAATAGTATCATTACGGGCGCCATCACGTCTGCTGTGACCGGGATCACGAACTCAGGGGACCACCTCGTAGCGGTGGTTGGTGTTGCCAAGACATTTCGGTTTGAAGGTTCTGCGACGGCCGAGAACGACGTCGTCAAATTTGTAGACGCAAGCACTACGAGTGACGCCAACTGCGGGACGTCGACCACCGGCCAGTCGGACGTGGGAGGCGTCGGCGTCAAGTATTTAAGCGCTGACCTCGACGTCGCCGTCAAGTTCACACAGTCGTCGCCCGATGGGAAACCGTTTGCGATTTGCTACAAGTTCGGCGATAACCCGTTCAAGCTGTACTCGGCGCTGAGTCTCACGGTCAAAGAGGTGAAGTCTGTGACGACTGATGTGGGATTCCCAGACATCGCAGTGGCCGACTTTGTCAAGACCTGGAGCTTCGGTGGCAATGGAATTATGGCCGGGGATCAGGTGCGGTGGATCGACCTGGACGTGGCCAAGAGCGCAGCGTACATTCTGAATCCCCCCGACTGTCTCGACACCTCGACGCTCGCGAAGCTGGCGCCCCCGGATTCTGGGACTTTAAGCGCTCCAGAAGATGACTACACGCGAGTGATTCAGGCGGGTCTGGGCTCCTCCTTTGCCTTCTCAGTGGAAAGCAGTAGGAAGACCTACTGCTTGTGCTACAAGTTTGGCAACGAGCCGTTCACCGTCTACCCCTCAATTAAAGTTCAAGTGAACCATCTTCGCTCCGTCGCGGCTCAATCTACTGGGAGTGATACGGTCGCGGTGGTGAACGCACCCAAGTCTTTCGCTTTCTCTGGAGACGGTGTGTTTTTGAACGACCGACTGTACTTTGTCCAGTTAGGCAGCGTGTCTTCCTGCGCCGAAAGCAACAACGACACGTCGCTGCAGCTCACGCACATGATCAACGACCAGGAGCAAGGCACGCTCTTCATAGACGCGAATCTTGTAACTGAGGTCAATTTCGACGCCGCCGCTGCTGGGATGATCGTAGTGCCGTGCTATCAGTTCAGAATGGAGCCACACCAGCTGTATCAAGACATCCGACTGACCGTCAAGATGGTCACGCGGTATACCGGGACGCTCGGATCCCCCCAACTCGCTGTGGCCGAAGTGGCCGAACCGCTGACGTTCCTTGGGTACGGACTGGACGACGGGGATCAAGTCCGGTGGATTTTACACGGCGAAGAAGACTGCGAGAGCAGCCTCGCTTCGATGATGGAGCCCGCCACACTGGAGGTTATTGACACCATTACACTGGACAAGAACAGCGCGGCGCTGTTCAACTTCACGACCACGCAGAGTGACTTTAACCCTTTGCTATGCTACAAGTTTGGCGAGGAGAACTTCAAATTGTACCCGAGTATTTCCATAGCGATCGGAACGATTCGAGGCAAATCCCCTCTCACAGGGGCCAAGGAAGTTGCAGTGGCCACGTCGCGCAAGAATTTTACAGTTCTGGGGACAAATATGGCGGAGGGGGACCGCGTTGGCTGGACCACCGTCATCGACTCGCCTACTCCGTGCACGAACCTGAGCTTACTGGTGCCCAATCCGTTGAACACGGACAACGATTATCTATCGTACATGACGGACTCCAACACATTTGGTGTCGCGTTGTCTACGCTAAGTTCGGGGAAGCGCGTGTACCTGTGCTATGGCTACGGCCAGGAGCCTTTCAAGCTGTTCACTAGGCTCTACTTGGACGTGAAGAGCATCACGAACATGCGCGCTCTGGTTGCAAGTCCCAACGTCGCTGTCGCCGGTGCACTCAAGACGTTTCTGTTCGATGGGGACGGCGTGGCCACGGGGGACTTTGCCAAGTTCGTGTCGAGTAACAGCTCGGACTGCACAACCCCTGGAGTGACGCTCCTCAATGTTATCAAGGAGTACGACGACTACGACGAAATGGCCATGTACCTGTACGAGATCTCGGGCGTCACCACCACTGGGAGTTTCCAAGTGAGCTCTGACAGTAGATCTGCGGGGCTTGACCGAGCTCTCTGTTACCGCTTTGGGGTCGAGCCTTTCGTCTTTTACGACAACTTCCGCGTCGACGTGAAGACCATTTGGGCACTAAACCAGTTCGACACGAACGCAGGGGGCCAAGACGATGTAGTGGTGGTGAACGAGCCCAAGCGCATGACCATTGACGGGGTCGGGATAGGCGTCAAGGACTCGCTAAAGTTCGTGAACGCGACCAGCGACGGCAGCGACTCTGACTGTAATGATCTCCCGGCACAAGGACAGACCGGTAAGCAACCCCTAGTCTCCGCCGACTTGACGGTATGGCTACCCTTTGACTCTGGTTCGAACGGGGGAACTTGGACATTATGCTACAAGTTCGACGACGAGCCGTACCGGCTGTACCCTACCGTGACTATAGCGGTGAAAGAAATCACCGCGCTACTGGACGACACCTTCCAAGACATTGCCGGGCTGGGCAGTGTTGCTACTATCGGCCATCGGAAGCAGTGGAAGCCTGTCGGGTCAGGAATTATGGCAGGTGACGTCGTCAAGATCGTGCCCCAGAGTGTGACGGCGAGTGCCGATTGTGGCGTGGCCGACGCCAACATCGCTGTCGGGACGTCGGTCATGACTGTTGGGGCCAAGTTGATCTTCTCCGGTATCATCTCGGCCTTCCCAGCGTCGACCACGGACGTGTATCACTTGTGCTACCAATTCCAGGATGAACCTTTCACTTACGTCCGCGACTTCACGTTGACAACGTACGGAATCACCGGCTTGGACCGCAGCGTTGTGCTGGTTAGTGCGTCTACTGTGGCCCAAATCAGCGGCTTTCGAGTCTCGGATACGGATGAAATGGGGTGGACGACAAGCACGACGAACTGCAGCTCGATGCTTGGGCGTACTGATGTGTCGGGGGCGAAAGCGGTCGTCCAGTTCTCCGAGAGTTTCTCGCAGTTGTACTTCTGCTACAGCTTCAATCGCCAGCCGTTTGATATCTTCAAGACAGTGACGCTCTCAGTCGTCAAGGCGGAGATCTGGACGCCGCAGACAGTGTCGATCATCGCCGACCAAACGACAGAGCTCGACGTGTCGGGTACGTTCGGGGTCACTCAAGGCACGGATCAAATCGCGTGGGTGCCGTCGGATGCTGTTGACTGCTCCGACGATACCGTCGCCAAGTACGCGAACATTATGCAGACGTCCGTGAAGAGTGCTACCAAGTCGCAGACGATCGTGCCGCGTGCCGGTGGCGCTGCGTTTAGCGCGAAGTACGTCGCTCCGAGCAGCGACAGCGGCGTGACCGCTACGGACAGCTTCTCCAGTTGGAAGTTGTGCTACCGGTTCGGCACCACGCCAAGCTTCCTCATGTTCGGCAACGTCTTGTGCACAGTGCTGAATATCGTCCATGTTCAGCTGCTCAGCATGGAACCTACCAGCACTGGAGCTGTGATGAAGTTCGAGTTCGACGGCGTTGGCATGCAGGACTTTGATTCAGCCAAGTGGGTGGACGCGACTGCTGCGTCCACCGATGCAGACTGCAACTTGTTGCCGGCAATTGGAGGCAGTAGGACCAGCGACATCGTCAACTCCCGTGCGAGCTTCACATTCGCTGAACAAAGTTCAGCCATGGCGCTGTGCTACAAGTTCTTGGGTCACGCGTTCAAGCTCTACACCAACATCCCGATCCAGAGCTCTGCTGCATCGACGACCAGCATCGGTCAGAGTATTAGCGGTGCTGTCACGAGCAGCTACGACGAGGAGGCAGCAGCTGCAGCCAGCGACCACTTCACCGCTAGCCGAGACGTCGCCACGGTCTCGCTCACGCTTGACAAAGACATCAGCGAGATCCCAGCTGGCTCTAACGCTGAAGCCGCGTTCAAGGCCTCCTTCACTGCGACGCTGGCGACTTCGCTGGGCATCGACGCGTCTCGGATCCAGATCACAGGGCTCGTGGCCGGTTCGGTGATCGTCAACTTCCAGCTCCTGTCCTCCGACAACGCCGCCGATCCGTCCGTGACCGAGGCGCTGCAAGATCTCCACGCCCAGCTCATGGATTCGGGCAGCGCCTTACTCACGAGCAACACTGTGGCCGTGAAGAACCCCGCAACAGCGCTAAGTGTTACCTTATCGTCCCTCCCAGCTCCGGCCACCTCGTCGATGGCCATTCAAGCGCTGGGATACCAATCCAACGGCCTCTTCTCGTTCGTGAGGAGCATTTACAGCGTCACGGAGAAATCCTCGAGGCTGGTAATCCCCGTTCTCCGTCTCCAAGGAGCGACGTCCGTTGTCTCTATCACTGTACAGATTCAATCGGCAGGGACGTCGGCGATACTGGATAAAGACTACGCTTTCTCAACGTCCGCTACGTTCGACAGTACTCTCAAGCTGATCCATTTACGCTTTGACATCGGCGACGTCTTGCAGACGATTGAGCTGGACCTCCTGGACAACAATGTGAAAGAAGCGCATTTCAAGACGCTGTCGCTAGCTCTGCTTGCTCCTCAGACGACTGGGGCATCGCTTGGCTCGACGAAAGAGACCGTCGTTCGGATCTACGACTATGACGATGGCGCCCCACTGGTAAGATCGAGCTTCTCTCTTGATGCTACGGATATGAGCGAGCAGCGTGAACCTCTTCAAGGCTGGCAGGTCGTCGCCAATGGAGCGAGCCCGCTGCGTATCGATGCCAACGCCGTCTTTGCTGTCGACGACGTGTTCGGTGAAGCCGAGTACAACCAAAAGTGCGACCTCGCAGCACCCACCGGCGTGTGCAGCTACGCCTGCGAGCTTGGGGGTGGACTGACTACGACGGACGGATTGGACTCCTCCTACAACACGCTGGTTCTGGATGGAGACGACTTTGCTGCGAGTATGGACGGCATCAGCTCCTTCCCGTCCGAGGTACGAGAGACCTACTACGTTTTGCTATCCCTTCCAGGACGCTAACAATTGTTGTGCATTGTTCGTGCTAGGCATTCACGGTATCGCTTTGGGTGAAGACGTCGCAAACGGGCCCGGGCGCTTGTTTCTATTCGTACGCAGTCTCTTCCGTGACGGCTTCGGCCGTACCCTTGGCACTCTGCAATCCCTCTAACGTGCAGCTATTCATCAACGCCGAAAGCGACGCGAGTGGGCTGTCCACCTTCGTGAACGTTAGTGACAATACGTGGCACTTCCTTGCTGTGACTTGGAACACGGAGGATGGTCGGGTGCGCGTTTTCGACAACGGCATGCTGGTATTTGACGGTGGGCCGTACCGACAAGGGAAGACGATCGAGCCGAACGGCTTCTTCGTGGCCGGTCAGCTGGTGCTCTCGAGTGCGTTGAGGCCACCTTGTGTTGCAGGAGCTGAAGTCTCAGCCCAAAGCGCCAGCTTCGGTGCCGGTGGTAACCCAGTCTCGCTCACATCAACCACAGAGGACGTTAGCTGCGACGTGGTGGCAGGCACCGGGTTCAAGGGCCAGATCCAGCACGTCCACGTTTGGTCACGAGTACTCGCGCGGTCGGAGCTTCTCGGGGAATTGGCCTGGCCGCTTCGGGTTGTCAGCAACGGCCTCGTCTTGGGGTGGAATTTCGACTCGTCCTTCTTGCTACTGCAGGGCCGAGTGGTGAACGACCTGTCGATGCAGGGCCAGGAGCAGAAGAACCTCGGCGTGCTTCACTGCAGCACTGGGAACACTTCCACGCTGCAGTTGGCGTCGACTTCATCTGGGACGAACAGTACCGGCACCGACAGTGTCGGTAGCTGCCTGCTCCATGGTGCTGTTCCTCGACTCGACGCCGCCTTCCCGTGCGGCCCCGTGTTCTCCAACGTTTGGCACTTTTCGGCCCCTGCGGCGTTCACCGGCAAGCTCGCCAGCGCGTACGGTGGCCGCCTGCAGTTCCGACTACTGGCTCCGAGCTTCAACGGGTCTCCGCGTCCTCGTCGAGGCCAAGTGTCCATCTTCGGCTTTGATAGTGACGGGGTCGCGACTCAAGTTTCGGTCGCGCTGGGGTCCTTCGACCTGCCGTCGGCCTCTCGCTGGACGTACTACTCGATCGTGCTGCGCGAAGACTTTGGCTGGATCACGGAGCCGACCGCCGCGTCGCTATCGAGCGACGAGTTCCAGGCCGTGCTGGCCACTGCCACGGCGCTCTGGATCCGAGGCGATATATGGGGCTACGACTCTACCGGGCCAGGCCAGGAGGTGGTCTACCTCAACGACGTTGCGCTCTACGCGCGGTGACAAGTGAGACTCTAGAGGGAGCAAGTTTATTATCGTGGAAATACAAGGAAAGCGGGCGTCGGCCCACACCAATTCACAAAACTATCGTACGTCCACATAGACCACACAAGTGCCGCCCGCTTTGGTCGTTCTGCCTAGTCGCGACGACGAACCTTGCAGCCAGAAGTGCTGATGGTCGGCGCGTCCGTGGCCGGTGCATCCGTCGTTGGAGCTTCTGTGAGTGGGGCGTCCGTGGTAGGAGCATCCGTTGCCGGTGCCTCAGTCGCGGTGTCCTCGTCAGCGCTGTCGTCGGTGGTGGAGGCCGACTCCTCCGTAGTCTCATCATCGGCCGCTTCACTGGCCGCATCGGCTTCGCTGGCAGCGGTTGTCTCGGTGGAAGGCGCGACCGTTGTCGCAGCAGGGGCTGAAGTGGTTGTCGAGCTGGACGTGGAGCTGCCGGTGCTGGAGCCGAGGCCGCTGGGGATGCCGCTCTCGACCGAGACGCCGTTGAAGGACAGCACGTCCTGCTTGCCGTCCACCATCTTGACGGCGCTGCCGTCGTTGGAGAGCGTGAGCTGGCCGAAGTGGAACTCGTAGTCGGTGGGCACGGAGCCGCTGTAGGTCTCCGTCTTGGTCAGCGCGAGCGCGTCGTCGCCCTCGCTGAAGTAGAGCGCCAGCTCGCCCGAGGACACGGCGATGCCGAAGTTGTACCACGTCTCGGTCTGGAACTCGGTGGACCAGCGGGTCTCGGTGCTGCCGCCCGTGTACCAGACGAGCTGCACGGGGTCCACGGACGCGTCGATGCGGATCTCGAACAGGTGCGACTCCGGGAAGACGACCTGCCACGAGTAGAGGTTCACGTACGCCTCCTCCTTCATGAGGCTCACGCGGAAGAAGGTGGTGCCGGCCGTGTCGCCGGCCACGTCCTGCACGAGCTCGGAGCGCCGGAAGTTGGTCTGGCCGCCGAAGATGGCCTCCGAGTCCACGGCCAGCGTGGCCACGCCCGCGTCGCCGTTGAAGGCGGGCGACCGGCCCTTCTGGGTGACGGTGACCCACTGGTCGGGGCTCACGGTGCCGTTCTGGCGCATGGTCAGGATGTGCGTCAGGTACTTGTCGGTCAGCGTGTCCACCGTCAGGTCCTGGAAGCGGCCGTCCCAGGGCAGCGCCTGGTCGTCGGCGGCGTCGGCGGCCGGGGCCAGCAGCGCGGCCAACAGCGCCACGCCGGACGCGAGGATCGAGTGGATACGGGCCATTGGGCGGGGGGCCGCGAGAGAGGAAGTGAGGGCACCGGCCGACGAAGCCGAAGATGCCCGACCAGGTTGGGTACATGTAAGCTTGTCTTCGCGCGTAAAGTCCTTCGTGATGCAGGAAGCAGCTGGTGGAAGGCGAGGTACAGCGATCTTCTCTGTAGTGATATCTTTCACAATTTACCACTATCTAGAGGCTTTTTTTCAAGTTGTACCATAATGATGGTACAATATCGAAGTGTTGTGGTTAACCTCTTATTATATTGCCATTCCTGGGATAGTTACCGACCGCTTGATAGTGATAAGTTCCGAAAGTAACACTATTTGGGATTTATACCACTACCAAGGAGGATTGTCTGTTTGCGACTAGCGAATCTACAGACGGAAGTGGAGAACTTCGACATCCAAGGACTTTCGCAGAAAAATGGCTGGCCGATGATTGGGATCAGGCTGGGATGCCCGAACCCAGGCGTGGCCGAAGCTGAGCTGACCAGGTGAACCGAGCTATGCTGCAAACAGAAGAGTTCGGCAGGTCTTGCACGAAGCCAGCAGCAGCTTCGGTTGTTGTGTAGTAAGTTTGTGTACTGACTGTGAAGAAGTGAACAGGCGTCGTTGACATGCCACAGCCCCCCCCCGATAGTTATCGAGAGCTCCGGCAAGAGGAAGTCGTGTACAGACAATCCTCTTTGAAGTGATATTACGAATAGAGATACCCTCTGGTTAGCACTAACGGAGGCCCGACGACATACAAATTCAAGTCAAAACATCCTCCAATCTCCGGATAGTGCTTACTGATACGAGATTGGCCTTTATCACTATCAAGAGACCGTTAACTATGAGAATGTCCATTTCGTAAAGCATGTCCGGCAAAGTTCAACCACAACGTGGTCGCTTGCGACCTTGAATGGACTTGGATTCTCCGAGTTCGCAGACATATTATTTCAATAAACTTAAAAGTTTTGCTTGATGTGATTCTGGAACGTGCAATTATCGTTTTGGCCTGGGCGCTAGACTAGATTTCGCGTTGTAGCTACCTGTGCAGTCCTCCCAGTTCCATCTGAATAGTGCCCAGTGTCTCACCACTCCTCGCGCCATAGTAGTAGATATTATAATGTTCAGCGCAACAACTACTTGCATCTAGTGCTTTGACCACGTATCGAGTGCACTACCAAGTGAATGGTGGCATTATCACTGCAAGTACTCATTAGTACCTTGAACGATAATGTACCGCCAATATGGTACAGATCTAGATAGTGATGCCTCTGCATAGTGATAAAAAATGGTCTGAGGCTATCACTACAAAGAGGATCGTCTGTACACCGCCGGACAACGCGCGTGTTCTTGTCGAATTTCGAGGCGCGTCGATGGTGCGGCTCTCTCCTGGAATCGCAACACCGTTCGGAAATGGGGATGACTCGTTCGGAGAAGATAATTCGCAGTTCGAAGAACTGTCGATTGGGGAAGGTTTTTGGATGGCATCGAACGACATTCACGCTACATTCGTCACTTCACCCCCGTGCGGATGACATCAAACAACATTCACACAACATCATACAGCAATCGATCGAATGACACTTACAGGTTTTGATGGATGCCTATTCTTTTTTTTCCTTCTACTGTAGATTGATGTCAGATGCCATCAGAGGAAGTGGGGCTCCATCTACTACTACGACGAACAACGTATTGTGTATTAGCGGACTACTACGACGAACAATAAATTGTGTACTAGCAAGCATTGTATTCTTTCCATCAATATGAGGCATCGGTGCTAATGATGCTAACCTTGGTGCCGCCACATCACTGCATCGTATCATACTACTGTACATGCAGCTTCAAAGCTCTCAACATAGTACTTACTCATTCCATTAGCGGTAAAATTATCGATTCGATCTGTTATGAGTCATAACTTATACCCTCCTCTTTCAGACACAGATTTTCTTCTGCATGCATAGTTTCTCAGAGAGAGATATTGAAAATCGTGTGGTCAGCTGGGTTTGCCGTGACATAAACTGTCGGCGGGCTGATTTTGTATGAATCCCCACACTCACTGGAATTAATCCGGATGGATTATATAAAACATTCCACTAAAACATTGCAAAAAACTACTTAAAGTCCTAGGTTGTGCGATCCAAGATAGGAAGTATAGCTCGATTTTTTTTCGTTCAACATTTTTTTTAATCCGAACCCAACTCTATCCGCCGGCAATGCGGTGACGTCCTATACGGAGATGAACGAATTCATTCAGCGGAGACTCAAAAAGAGCTGCACCTGGTGGTACGTCTTCTCCGGAAAAAAGTCTAAAGGCTAGCTGCACTAGCTTAGGCATTTATCTATGAAGACTAGGATGATTTATTGTCTTGTGTGAGACTACAATACGAACCGCAGAGATCCACCGAACTGGTGGTGTAGAATGATCTACTACTTGATCCTGCTCTTGTCAAAACAAGTTCAAAGTACATTGTTACCAATAACGTGAACAGGCAGCGTCATCTCCAGGACGCGCATTAGTTCAGATCATCCTAATGCTACATGCATACAGTACCTTCAGATTAATACTTGATAAATGGCAATATCACACTTGGACGAATCGAAGCTGACAGTTTTTTTTTGTTGTTAGATCTTCAGGCGACCTGGACAAAATATGTGTGCGGCTGCACCATGTTTTATCAAACAGAGTTTGAATGCTCCTACGTTGTCGCTGTACGCAGCGCATCCTGTGCGAGAGGAAGCACCGGGCGGACATCGTCAAAGCGAAGGACGAACACCCGGTGTATCCTACTCCTACACGCGATCGAAATCTGCTAGACCTCAGTTTTAACTCATCAAACTTGAAACAAATTGCTGGCTTCATCGGGGTATCCTGCAAGTTTGGTTGAGCAGTTATCCTGGCAGCACTAATTATTCGAATGCACGTTTTTTTTCTTGTTTTATCGTCACCTGTAAGTTTCCGAGCACAACACTGCAATCTAATCAATAAAGGATTCTGCCTGGGCATCAGCGCACATTTCAGTAGCAGGAAGGAAGGAAATTACGTTGATTACCTCGCTGTTGATAACCGTTCTACTAACTACAAAGAACTAAGGTTAAAACTAAATCCGTGGAGCCCTCATTCGACGAGCAGGAGGAGGTAGAATCATCGCGGTGGGGTTGCCAAACCCAATCGTTGAAGTACCAATTCGTTGGAGTGACGATACATGTATATGAACTGGCAATGCCTTTGAAAAAAAGCGATCAAACTTTGTACACTTGGTTGTACCGTGGTAGATTAGGCAGATGCTGCGACTGCGAAGCAGGCGCAGGGGATGCCCGAGTACATCGTTTCCCTGTAAGGATATCCGCACAAGCTAGCTTCGAACTGCGAAACCCTCCGGGTCCACCACCCGGGTTCCCAATTCTGAAACACTTCCGCCAAGCAAAACGTGACGTCGGACGCTTCCTGTGCAGGTTTTAAAGTGTTTGATTTACTGGAAACTGTGCAGTTCGACCACGTTCGTGCCCTCATTCCTACTTCCGGCCATCGAAGGTAAATGAAGTGCCGTACTCACCATCCCCGGCTGTCTAGGAGGCGCTCGTCACGGCCATCGAGGGGGCAGGAGTCGGAGCTCCAGCATCAATAGCCGTGGCCTCTACCGACACACCGCTAAACGAAACCACATCCTGCTGGGCGTTCATCGCTGGTGCGCTGCCAACTGAAGATTGCGTGAAGAGACCGATGTGGAAGTCGTGGAGGACGCGGAGCTGGCCGGGTAGTTCGCTCGTCACATTCAGCGCCAGCTCGTCCTGGCCCGTGCTCGTGTAGAACTCCAGCACCATGTTGTTGCCGCCCGCCGACTTCTCCAGACCAATGCCAAAGTTGTACCAGGTGCCAGGTGCGAAGTCGGTCGACCACTTGGCCTCGCTCGTTGCCGTTGATCCGGTAGTACACAATGGGCGGGTTAGCTGACGCGTCGACGCCGATGCGGAACAGGTCCGACCCCAGGAAGATGAGTCTCCAGTCGTACGCGTTGAGGAACGCCTCGGCTTTCATGGCGCTGGCGCGGAAGAACGTCGTGCCGTCCGAAGCCCCCTCGATGTTCTAGAACAGATCCGTGCGCCGGACGTCCTTGTCCGTGCTGTAGATAGCGTTCGCGTCCACGCCAATGGAGAGCTGGCCGCTGTCACCGTTGTACCCGAATGGGCGAGCTTGGTACTGGACTGAAACGTAGTCGACGGGGTTGCCGTCTTGGCCTCCGTTCCGTTGCATCAGGATAGGCGTGAGGTACTTGTCGTTGATCGTGTCGACGGTCAAGTTGAACGTGCGGCCGTCCCACGGCAGTGATCGATAGCCAGGGCTAGCGGCGTCTACCAGCGTCGACGAAGTGAGTGCAACAAGACCTAGAATCGCGGAGAAAATCTGCATCGTATACGCCGAGTGTTGGAGCTTGGAGATGCTGGAGTTACGCGGTTGAGGACGAAATCGAAACTGGGGTCACGTTGGGATGGTTTTGCCTCGTTGCCCCGTGCAAATCTGTCGAGACTCAATAGTCGTAAGCAACTACTGTACGCTCCAACGCCACTTCCAAATTATGCTGCATAGTGTTCTTCTTCAAATATATCTGCGTACGCTTTGCTGTGGATTCCAAGTGAACACAACCCGCGAAATTGGTGGAAATGTGAGCGTGATCTGGTAAGCTGGTTTCGTCGGTGATGGATACACATGTACTGGGGAAGTTTTGGTTCTTCCCGATGGTCAAGTGGCAAGGATGTGGAGACTTTGTTACGCGAAAACAAGGTGAAAGCTCCTTCACACCCGGTAGATTTTCGTTTACAGTGCGTGCCCCTACTTAAGGGGGTCGGAAGATCCACAACTATTTGTAAAGGTCATCGTTTTGAGTGAATAAACGAAGCGTTTGGTCCAAAAAGCTCTTCACTGCTTAAAGATAATACTGTATGCGTGAATCCTTTGGGCCAAATTGCATCGCTTCCGCCTTGCGGCGTGGCCTGCTACTTTGCTGACGGGGGTATATCATCTCAATTCAAAGCTCCGATCATGCTTACGAGGGGACTCGCAAATGAATTAACAGTGAGGCTAGTAAAAGCAAGATTTACAACACGGTTGCACTCCGTGCTGGTTACGCGGTGGAGGTTTGGCGATGATAGATGAGGCACCGAGCCAGATTGGAGACTATCCTCAGCTTTGCTCAAGACGCTGACGTCGAGATGTTGCAGCATGCTCCGCAGCGGAGTCCACTCGCAGCAAGAAGTTGAAAGCCAGCGTGACATTTCTTCAAAAGAAGTAAGTACTTTATCTCTTGAGTGAACTAAGAATCATTTCAGCACGTACACTCACAGGAAGTGAATTGTTCAACTAGCCTCGAAACCGAAGCAAGTTCCTCTTACTTGCGGCCATTGAAACTGAACGATCGAGCCTCGCCAGCAGTGCTCCCAGGAATTGGCTCAGCGTCCTGGGAGGGTGCCGGGGTGGGAGCGCCGGCGCCAATCGGAGTGGACTCGGCCGAAATGCCGTTGAAGGAGACGACGTCCTGCTGCGCGTTCATTGCGCTACTTCCACTCGAAAGTGCAGTAGCGGGACCGATGTGGAACTCGTCGCGCGCGAGGAGCGACCCCTCCACTTGGGTTTTCATGTTGAACTTGAGCTCGTCCTGGCCCGTACTGGTGCAGAACTCCACCGCAGTGTTGGTGCCATCTGCCGCCTTCTCCACGCCAGCGCCGAAGTTGTACCACGTGCCAGGCACGAACTCGGTCGACCACTTCGCGGCGTCCGTGCCCTTGTTGCGGCAGTACACCTGGGCGGGTGTCTTGGATGCGTTCACGCCGATCTCGAAGACGCCCGAGCCCACAAAGATGAGCTGCCAGTCGTAGGAGTTGAGGAACGCCTCGCCCTTCATGAAGCTGGCACGGTAGAACGTGGTGCTGCCGGAGTCCCCCTCGATGATTCGGAACAGGTCCGAGCGGCGGGCGTTAGTGCTCGTGCTGAAGATGGCCTTGTCGTCCACGCCGATCGCGAGGACGCCACCGTCGTCGTTGTAGCCTTCGGGTCGACCTTGGTGCTGGACCGTGACGTAGTCGGCCAAATTGCCGTTGCTGCCGCCATTTTGTTGAATCTGTCCTTGTTGGAGAGCGTGTCAATGGTCACGTTGAACGCACGACCATCCCAAGGCAGCCCGTCATAGTCCGACATAACAGCAAGCGACGGCGACACCAACGAGGCGAGACCGAGAAGCGCGGTGGAGAGGTGCATTGTTGAAGGGGGGGTAGAAATTGCGCGGTGAGAAGCGAGTTCCAGAATGAAAAGTTGCTGGAGCGTCGAGCAGAAGCCTGTGGGACCCACAGTGGGTGCCCTCGACTTTCGCATTCTTTGATCACGCTACATGTGCTGGGTCAATGTATTGATTCGTCGCTGACAATTGAGCTTCACTCCGTCACTGTTGATACCTTCTCGCGGGCAGATGGGAGTTGGAGCGAGATCGGCGCTCCCACCCCTCCGAGTGTTTGCTCTGAATCCGAGTCAAGTTGATTACTAAGTATCTGAATCCGAGTCGCACATATTGAACTTGTCAGTATGCAAATGCCATCGTATTCATTCAACTGTTCTAGGCTGCTGAAATTCATTCCGGCAGCAATGCTGTACAAGTAGCTGGTAAACTCGAACATCTCATGTTTCGAATTCGTCACCGAGTGCTTTTGACTTTTTGCCGAACAGCGATTCATTATGACCTACGTCAAACTGAAGTTCCGACACTGTGAGCCTCACAGTATGAGGACAAAGAAACAGATCGTACATCGGCAATTGGAAAATTTCTTTGACCGACAATTCACTCTGCGGGTTTCATGCTTCAGTTGGAAGACGTGGGTCTCGACTGAATCTGCGAGACTAGTCGATGAACGCGAATGTACGCGCCTCGCTGTTGATCGCGGAGGATGGCGCTGGGGTATTAGCCGCTCCAGCCGCTGCCGTGACGACGCTGGTTTCGATCGAGACCCCATTGAACAACATCGTCTCCATCTCCGCGTTCATGACAGGGTCACTACCATCGGCAGACTGCGTCAGAAGCCCGATGTGATACTCGAACGACGCAGGGAGCGCAGGCGCAATTTCGTGGGTGCCTTCAAGAACGAGGTCCTTATCGCCTTGACTCGTGTAAAACGCGAGCACCGTACCGCTGCCGCTCTGCGACTTGGTCACGCCGACGCCGAAGTTGTACCAAGTACCGGAAACGAACTCGCTCTTCCACTTGGCATCGGTCTTGCCATCGTTCACGTACGAGATCATCGGAGGGTTTGCCGCTGCATCCACGCGGATCTCGAAGAGGTAGGAGCCAGGGAAGACCAACTGCCAAACGTACGGGTTGAGGAACGCCTTGTCCTTCATGACACTCGTGCGGAAGAAGGTGGTGCCCTCGGAGTTGGCGGCGACAGTTTGCATGAGGTCCGAGCGGCGGGTGCTGGTTTCGCCCTTGTAGACGGCCTTCGCATCGACGCCGAGGGTGATGATGCCGGTGTCGCCGTTGTAAGCAGGAGAGCGGCCAGTCTGCGTGACGTTGACGTAGCTGGTCGGATTCGCGTGCCCAAAGAGAACGTCCGCGAGGTACTTGTTCGCGAGCGTGTTCACCTCTAAATCTTGCACGCGTCCGTCCCAAGGGAGGGCCTCGTCAGCAGCAGCGAAGGACGAAAGCGAAAGGAGCGCTGTCAAGCCGATGATCACGGAAGGAACGCGCATAGTGAAGTGACGTGGAAGTTGGGCAGTTGGGAGCAAATTGCAGAGTGAAGCGACTGCAGAGAGGGCTAGACCTTGGTAGCCGCAAAGGTGGAGACCTTCATCAGGCTCTGAGATAGGCATAATTTGGTCCTCGCAGTCCTCGATTGCGTGAGATGTCTTATGGACCGAGAGCTCATCCCATCCAGCATTGATCTTGTCGTCAGCTTTGATACGAAACCGTGGACTGCTTTCATTTCTATTGGAACCAGCACTACGGACACAAGAGAAGTTGAAGCGGGGGTGAACCTAGCAGGCGGCAACTCACGCAATCCGAAGACCTAGAGGCATGGAAGATCAGCAAAGGGAATCCGATCGAGAGTCCAATTGGTATCGGATCGCGCCATGTATTCAACCAATGTGGCAGTGCCTGTCAAGACTAACATGCGTTGCTTTCTTGCTGACTAAGCTGAGCTGAACCGGATGCGAAGCCAGGCTTACGGTGCAATACATTTTCGTGTTTCTGAATCTGCACTGAATAAAAAAATTTGACCACTATCTATCCTATGTTTATCGGAAGCGTGAGATTTCATTCGCCGATCAAAAATCGGCCTGGTAGTGAATAACCCGTTGTGGGAGAACCGACCTACTGTAAGGTCGATGTTATTTTTCTTGGATGAAGTCGGCATCTTTAGACACAAAGTCCTTTTTCCACCTCAAGAAAAGTGTACGCGACGCGGGACTCGAACCCGCAACCCCCAGATTCGAAGTCTGATACGCTATCCATTGCGCCAGCCGCGCTTACAGTTTTACATATAGTTTCTATTATAATATTGCCGCTTGCAAATACTTTGCCCTCTAAAATAGACCTCTAAAAGAGACCACGCCTGTCTCTTAATATGAGTGGACACGAGATAGGCGAGGGCTGATTTAGCTTTATGCTTTGCTGGGGGCCGCTTTTAGGCCCAGAAACTCGGTTTGGCCCGTCTAAAATGGCATTTCTGCGTTTCCAAGTCGTAGAAAAGCGCCTTGGTCGAGAAAACAGAGCCCCAAGCTCGGATCTTAGACCGTACTGGCGAGATATATAAATCAGACCTAGGTCTTAATTAAGAGCTGGCTGGATTAAAATCGAGATTATTAACGAGATAATAAGCATGCGTTGGCCAAAATATCTGCAAACGGTAATAATAGTTATTATTAGTATAATTTCGACTTTGTAAGCACCGCACCATTATTGACGAACAATGAAAGCGATCAGCAAACAAACACTGGGTACGAACATCAAAACGCGATCGAACAGTTAACATTTATTTCAGCAAAAAGTACATGTATGCAGTTTTCTAACCAGCTTTGCACATCACTTCCGCCAAATGGAGATAACCGTGCCCATTGCGCACTAACTTACTTACGGGCGCAGCCCTCCCCGGAGTTCTGCACAATGCCCTGCTTCGTAGCGGTGGAAGGAGTCTCGTTCTGGGCGGCAGGGGTCTCGTTCTGGGTAGCGGGGGCCTCCGTGGTCTCAGTCTCAGCCGAAGCAGCAGACGCCGATGCAGTGGACGAGGACTCAGCTCCGACCGACGAAGCAGTGGAGCCGGTAGCGGAGGAAGCGCCGGCAGACGCAGAGGTCGCCACCTTAGCCTCCACCGACACGCCGTTGTAAGACACCGTGTCCGGCTTGGCGTTCATCTTCGGGTCACTGCCATCGTCCGACAGCGTCAGCAGGCCGTAGTGGAACTCGTACGACGACGGGAACTCCGTCACCGTCTCGTGGGTGGCCTCAAGCGCCAGGTCCTTGTCACCTTCGCTCGTGTAGAACTCAAGCACCGAGCCGTTGCCCGACTTGGCGGCCGAAATGCCGATGCCGAAGTTGTACCACGTGCCAGGCACGAACTCCGTCTCCCACTTGGCGTCCCACGTGCCGTTGTTCAGGTAGATGATCTTGGCCGGGCTGGCCGTCGCGTCCACGCGGATCTCGAAGATGTGCGACTCGGGGAAGATCATCTGCCACGCGTACGGGTTCAGGAACGCCTCCTCCTTCATGACACTGGCGCGGAAGAACGTCGTGCCCTCCTTGTTGCCGGCGATGTTCTGCACCAGCTCGGAGCGACGGAAGTTGTTCTGCGTCTTGAAGATGGCCTTCGAGTCCACGGAGATGTCGATCACGCCCGTGTCGCCGTTGTAGGCCGTCTTGCGGCCGTCCTTGGCGATCGACACGTAGTCCGACACCTTGCCGTCCGTGCCGTTGTTGCGCATGGTCAGGATGTGGGTCAGGTACTTGTCCGTCAGCGTGTCGACGGTCAGGTCGTATCCGCGGCCGTCCCAGGGCAGCGGCTGGTCCGCGGCGGCGGCGGGGGCCGCGAGGTAGGCGGAGGCGAGCGCCGCCATGCCGAAGATCGTCGAGGAGAAGACCATGGTGCTGGTTGAGTGCGAGGGTTCGCTGAGTTTGTGTGCGTCGCAGCGAGAAGATTGGAGAATGACCACCAAGCTGTTCGGGCGGTGGCGCTGTCACCTCCAGGAAAAGGTTGGGGCCGTGGACGCTTCCGACAAAGCAGGCTGGGTTTGTCAAGGGCGAATGGTCGGGGATTTGCGCCGCCGCTCATTCGCCGAGAGCCTCGCGCCGCCGGTTCTCTCGACTTTCGCCAATCTCCATCTGAGTGCGCGCGAGCTCCCCACTGGCGAGTGGCCAGAGCCAGACGTAGAGCACCGAAAGCTTCTTGCACGAAGAACCACGAAGCGAGTGGGTGGGTGAGTCCCTCGGAGCTGGAGTCGTCGCTCCGTGCCCCCGCACTTCGGGCCAAAAGGTGGCGCTGCCATCTTGGCGTCCATCGCTCTCAGACTTCACAGTAACCTTTACGGCTTTCGTGAAGCGATTGTCGATGAGACTGACAGCGAATTGGAGTCACTCACTCACGTCAAGTCAGGCGAACGCCAAGAACGAGTTGACGAAAGTCTCGTGCACATCTCATGTCTCGCAGAAAGGATACACTGGTCGGGAGGACGCTTGAAGCAATCAGTTGGCTGGAGACGTTGGCAGAGCACGCCATGCCGCATGTATGGGTGGGCACCGTTTCAAGCGGCGAGAGCGCCTTCAGCATCGGATGGGGACGGAGAAGCGAGCGTGACACCTTCAACTCTCGTAAAGCCTCACTCCTTAGTCGCCTTTTACCAAGCATCCCACCAGCAGAGGGGAAAGAGAGCACTAAAACCCCAATCTACGAGCTCGTGCCTGCCGAGCGAGCACGATTTATGAGGTTTTTCGGCTCTCCCATTTAAATACGAACACAACGAGCACCCGCGAGCCCCCCGCGAGCAGCGCTCGTTACGGATCCCCCTTATTAGGCAAAAAGTAGGAGGAGGCCCCCACCGCCGCGTGCCGCCCGCAGACGTCGCCAAGAGACCCGAGTGCTTCCCCGCCGTCTCGTGCAGGAGAAGGCGGAGCAGCAGCGGCAGCGCCAGCGCGAGCACAAGGAGTACGAGCAGCCGCCCGCAGTGCGAGGCCACCACCGAGAGCTACCTGCAGTAGGAGGAGGCCACCGCACCATGTTCCGATTGGAGAGCGCTCATGCCGAGTTCGAGGTGTAGCCGAGCTGAGTCTGAACACGCTTCACAGCTGAACCGAAGATACCGAATTCAAACTGAGTTTGAACGCAGCCGAGCTCGCGGCGAGCCGAGTTGGAATGTGACCGAATGAAGTGCTGTTCCAGTCGAGCTTGCCCACCACCTTCCCAACCAAGCTGAACCCAGTCGGGGTAAGCTGGTCTAACAGAGCGGGAGACATGCCGAAGTCAAGGTCCGTTGACCAATGAACCCAACTCGGCCCGGTCAGGACAACTCGACTGGAGCATCAAACGCATCGGGATCGCCTTGTTCGTTTATAAAATGACACAGCAACGGTGAGAGCTAACTCAACGCACCAAAGTGAGTGGGGCAAACACTTACCAGGCTAGTTGAGTCGATGAAGCGGAGGCTGTGTTCAAGTCCAGCCGAGTTCAAGGTCAGCGGATAGCAGCTAGTCGTCAGGACAGCCGAGTTCGAACACAGCTGAGTTCAACTTGCTGCTGCACTTCTTGCCAATAAGCTCAGCTGGGTTGGATTTCGAGCTCAGCGCGGCCCGATCGGGGAAGCGTTTCTTGACCCGCCGAGTTCCCGGTGCCTTGTAGCATGCCAAGACAACCATCAGGCTCCACTCGACGCACCGAAACGAGAGGCACGTGCTTACCTGGTCAGCCGAGTCGCTGGCAGCATCCATGGCTGCTCATTTTGATGGAGACAGCGATGCTCGGCTTCGTCGGTATTGCAGCCAATCGAGCACTTTCCCGACACCTGCATCACCTACTCGCTTTGCTGCGGCAGGCACAACATCACCGCTAGTACTCCGAGCTTCGACAGGGGCACCAGCTGACTTCGTATGGTTCAGTTCCTGCTACCGGCTGCCACCATCCAGGCTGATTCGCTGCTGAAGTGATCCGACGACGGGGTTTGGTGCGAGCGATAGGGGCATCTACATGTGTACAGACCCATGAGGCGCGGAGCCCACGCATCAGACAAGGCCTATACCAAAGATCAAGGCTCAAGCAAGTCTCACCTTCACGGAACGAGGGCGTCGAGCTGGCGTTGCGGGCGTTTCTCGCCACTCGAATTCGGGAAATGTGAACTCAGAGTGTTTGTGACAGATCTGATTGGACGAAATCAAGCGTGCGACACATCCGGTTGGCCAGACCACTCACCACTCCGGCTCGTAGCATGGCCGGGGCAGTTGTGGTATATGGAACATCAAGTTTTGTGTCACACTCCAAGGCCGCAGTGGAACAACGTACCAGGAGCCAAGTTCTACTCGGCGGGATGACCGTCCGCCGAGCTCAGTGGGCAAGAATGTGCTGATGGACCGCTGAACTCGGCTGATGGTGTCAGAAACTCAAGGCACACCGGCCCCGACCTGGTGACACGTGGCAGACCCAGTGATGAAGACCCAGCCGATTTCAGGAAGGCACTGGACACGCTCAGCCGAGATCATGGGGGGTTCAAGCCGCCGAGCTCAGGCTAAACGGTACCATGTACCGTCCGATACGGTAACCAGGCTCAATTGAGTCCGGGAGTTGCGCAGTCGAGTTCACGGGTCGCTCTGCCGAGTTCACGAGTAGTTCGCGGGTCGCTCCGCCGAGTTCACTGGGTTATCCGGCACCTTATCCGGCTCAGCCGAGTTCAAGGGGTTATCCGGACAGGTTATCCGGCTCAGCCGAGATCAAGGGGTTATCCGGACAGGTTATCCGGCTTAGCCGAGCTCAAGCGTCGCCGAGCTCGGTGAAGAGTCGGCCGAGATCCAAAACCGCCCACTTTCATTTGGTATTTGTATAGGAGCTTAGGAATAGTGGAGGCGCCCCTTTAGGGCGCCCGACAGAGATAACAAACAACAGAGCAGAATTTTCTAGGTCCACAACACGTGCACGCTCTTCTAATAAGCCCCTGCACGGGCCGGATTATGTCTGCTGTCAGCACCCAAGAGGCATAGCTTGTAGGGTGCTGACTGGTAGCGCCAAGATATTAAGGTCGGCCCGGGTTGGGCACGTGTCTCGCCAAGCGCGAAGGAAAAGTCTCGCCACCACTGCGACCCGGTGTTCCCGTACGTCCCGGGCACTGATTGCTGAGTCGAGAAGCCTTTGCTCTCGGCGATCCGTAAAAGCCCGCGAGGGCCGTCGTCCGTCCTTTGGCGGAGGGCACGGGATTTCTAATTCCGAAGTCAGGTAACTCAGCTGGCTTCCGTGATTGACTGGCTTGGGGTACTTGGTCTCGGCGAGGACGAGACATCACTGTCCCGGAAGGGCCGAACCGCTGGGGGACATCTCAGCGAAGGCCAACAAGGGCCGACTAGCTCGGCTGTTGTTGTTGTGTGTAGCTAGGGTGCCACATCTGACGATTTTGTGCGTGCCACTACACCACACCCGAGTGCTACCCTGCCGTCCCGTGCAGGAAAGGCGGAGCAGCAGCGGCAGGAGCAGCAGAGCCAGCGCGAGCACAAGGAGTACGAGCAGCCGCCCGCAGTGCGAGGCCACCACCGAGAGCTACCTGCAGTAGGAGGAGCCCTCCACCGCCGCCCGCAGACGTAGCCAAGATACCTGAGTGCTACTCCGCCGTCCCGTGCAGGAGAAGGCGGAGCAGTAGCAGCAGCGCCAGCGCGAGCACAAGGAGTACGAGCAGCCGCCCGCAGTGCGAGGCCACCACCAAGAGCTACCTGCAGTAGGAGGAGGCCACCACCGCCGCGTGCTGCCCGCAGACGTCGCCAAGAGAATCGCGAGCATTTTAACGTGTCGTGCAGGAGAAGACACGAAGAACGGTGGTGGGTGGTAACCGAGTGCTCGTTGTTATGGTTCGACCACCTGTTGCAGTTCGTGAGGCGGTTCAAGTCTATCATCCCTTTGCGGGCTACACGCTTAAACCACCTACTGTCACGGAGAATTCATTCATTTTTGAGTGGGGTGTACGTGTAGAGTATATCGACAATGATGACGTGAAAACTGGCTGGGTATGTCTTGCCGACGAGGCGTGTCGACAGGCAGGTGTGAAGTTGGTGTTGTCACGAGCAAGAACATCTAGAGCAACAGAGCATTTACGAAAGGTGCATCGAATCTCGTCGAAGATAACTGCGGCTGCAGTTGAAGGAAAACGAAAGCGAGATGAAACGGTTGAACGGCTGCTCTCGTCGAATTTGTAGCGAACAAACCCTCAACGCCTTCATTTGCTGCTGGAAACCCTTCGTATCATGAACAATAACTTGCCTTTCTGTAGCGGCGAGTACGAAGAATCCCGAGTAATCCGGCAGGTGGTGGTGAGAGAAGAGATGCAGACTACGATAAATGCAGAGCGAATTGCGAAGGCAATTGTCGAGCTCTACAGCTCGACCAAAGCGGAGTTAATTGACTTCTTAGAACGTAATCGCTCCGATTGCGCGAATTTTGTGATCATGACAGACTTTTGGACTTGTCGTACAACTCATGGGAAATATTTAGGGTTGCGGCTTTATCTCGTGGATGAGTTTTGGCAAATGCGATCGGTGATGCTTGGAACGCAAAAATTTAGCCCATCGTATGGAGACCGCGACGTTGGAATTCAAGGTCCATTTTCGGCGTGGCTGGAATAAATTCTGGAGGATTTCAGACTTCGGAAAGATTTTGTTTTTGCTGCCACGAGCGACGCTGGGCCTGATGTCAAAAACTTGCTGGTCAACAAATTGAAATGCAGGTGGGAATGGTGTGTTGCGCACATGCCCCATGCAGCGACAAAGGAAGCATGTGGAATGAGAAATGATGCATGTAAGTCGCTGAATCCGGGCATGACTAAGTTGATTTCACGGATTAAGAAGACTATTTACCAGGTTCGCACCGTGGAAACTACTGGCAATTTATTTCAAGAGCTGTGTAGAACACAAACTGAAACTGGAACAATCCAACTTCTTGATTACAATCCAGACCGATTTTTGAGTCTGGCGACAGCAACTAGAAGGATTCTGGATAAATGGACTGCGATAGTTGCCTGGTATGATGAAAGGGCACGAAAAGCACTTCGCGAAAACCAAGTCCCCCCTACTTTTCCACTACAAGACGATCAGCTAGATTTGGTTCATCTACTCTCATTGCTACGGCCGGTTGCGGGTGTTAAGCGTATGTGTCAAGCTGAAGAACCAAACCAAGTAAATGTGCTGCATGCACTTTATTTGATAAGGTTAAACACGCTTGATCTAGACAAGCCTCTCAAACACTACATGTCGACCAAACAAAACCCGAAATTTATTGCCAAAAATGAGTTGACGGACCTGGCTCAATTTACTCGAGAACGCCTTCGAAAGACGCTCGATTCACGATTTTTTTCGAGATATTACAAGACGAGTGGGACTCAATCAGCTGCATTTGTGTTTGAGATGCAATCTCGGCTTCACCCGACATACAAAAGGCCTGATAAATCCTTAAACCGTGTGGTAAAGCTATGCTGTATCGACAATGGTCACCGCGCGAGAGACACAGAGGTTCGATTGGAGTATGTCAGCGAAAAAATTAAAGAAAAGTTTCGGGAAATTTTGACAGCAGTAGCCGAGGACCGTACTATTTTTGAGTATGCAAGTTCTAATTTCGCATCGCGCCCGAGATCGGACTTTCTGGAAGAGATAGAAGCAGAGTTTTCGTGTACAAGTAGGCATACTGAAACTCAGGACCTACCAAGATCGCGAGTTGATGATGAATTGAATCGGTGGAATTTTGATGAAACTCCAATTGGAGTCAACGCGGACGGCGAAGAAGAAAGTGTTTTGGAATTTTGGCGTCGGATGGAGCAAGAAAAAAAATATCAGATACTACCACGAGCAGCAAAATTATTGTTCGCAGTTCCTACATCGTCCGCTCATATCGAGAGAGATTTTAGCGTCGCTGGTAGTATGGTGACCCCACAACGCACGCGGATCACTCAGCGCAATGTCGACATGGGCATCTTCCTAAACCGCAACCGGACCTTTGTTGATCTTACTCAATGCGAGGAAATTCCCAGCGAGAAACTGGCATCTCATGTCCCCTCAAGCATGTCCTACCCGATTGAGTGTGTGCCCGATGGATTCGGAGACGACGTGCTGGTGGAGATGATGTCTAGCACAAGTCTGTCAGAACTGTTTGACTTCAATGATGTTTCGTCGTAGAAGCCCGGGGTGTTCTCCCTCGCTTCTTAACGGTTTTCATTCGCGACGATACCTACCGGTGTAAGAGATTATCGTTAGCATGTTACATCATAACAGTAAAATTCATATACACTTACTTTGAGTTCAATGATTGCCGCCCTTGCTTCAGCACGCATCTGCACCTCACGCTGCACCTCCGCGATCACTGCGGTGAGAGCGCATCTCGCAGAGAGTTTACGTTTTGCCACGGCTGTCGACTGCCTTTGCTTATGGGGGGCTACATATGCGTATTGATCACTGCCCTCGGGTAGGGTTTCTTTTAGAGTTGGCTGCGAAGATTTTGTAGGAAACATTTCTGCTTTCGCTTCTGCAAACATACTCTTCAACATGCTGCGCAACCATGAACGCTCAGGTCGAGCTTCGCCATCTTCTCGAGCTGGCACACCGTCAGCACGCGCTGTTATAAGCTTAGGTGACAGGCGGTACGTGTCTAGCTGCTGCTCACATGCTGCACACTTCTTTTCGCTGTCGGTTTCGGCCTGCTTCTCCACCCTACCCAGCCTTGTCTTTAAGGCCTCCAGCTCCGTCTTGATCTCAGCATGCCAGTTGCCACGGCGGTCGTGCTGTTGCGCAACTTGTGCTGTCCATCAATGGCCAGTAGCTGCTGCGCGCGTTCGCCATCGTCAAACCCACCCATCCTTCTCGTAGCAACAACTATTTCTTGATTAGTTGTGTCATCGCCCCGATATTCAGCAGCTGCGGTAGCTCTAGCTTGTGAACGGGTCATGACCATTTTCGCTCGTCGTACTAACAAGCTTACACGCCAATTCGCAAACCCAAGTCGCTTACCAATACGTCTGTGCGCGGCGCGCGGCGGTGGGGGGCTCCTCCTACTGCAGGTAGCTCTCGGTGGTGGCCTCGCACTGCGGGCGGCTGCTCGTACTCCTTGTGCTCACTGTGGTATAGCAGTACACACAAAATCGTCAGATGTGGTAACTTGGCTACAAACACAACAATAGCCGAGCTGGTCGGCTTTGTTGGCCTGCGCCAGGTTGCCCCCGAGCGGTTCGGCCCAACCGGGACAGCAGGTGTCTCGCCTCTCGCGAGACCTGCCAACCAAGATCACTCCTCCAGAGAACCGCCGAGTTCGACGGCCTCCGTTCACTCAACCCTGAGCCCTCCACCAAAGGATGGACGACGGCGTACGGAGCGCTTTTACAGGTCGCCGAGAGCAAAGGCTTCTCGACTCAGCAATCAGTGCCCGGGACGTACGGGAACACCGGCTCGCAGTGGTGGCGAGACTTTCCTTCGCGCTTGGCGAGACTCGCGCCCAACCCGGGCCGACCTTAATCTCTTGGCGCTGCCAGCCGAGTACCCTACAAGCTATGCCTCTCGGGTACCGGCAGCAGACATAATCCGGCCCCGTGCAGGGACTTACCGGAACGTGTACACATGCTTTAGGCCTAGAAAATTCTGCTCTGTTGTTTGTTATCTCTGTCGGGCGCCCTGAAGGGGCACCTCCACTATTCCTAAGCTCCAATACAAATACCAAATGAAAGTGGGCGGTTTTGGATCTCGGCCGACTCTTCGCTGAGCTTGGCGACGCCTGAGCTAGGCTGGTCCGGATGAGCTATCCGGACAATTCTTCGAACTCGGCTGAGCCGGATAAGGTGTCCGGATAACCCCTTGAACTCGGCTGAGCCGGATAAGGTGTCCGGATAAGCTGGTGATCTCGGCTGAGCTCGGCTACCGGTACAGTGTACCACTCTAGCCGAGTTGGTCGCGCGAAATCTGGTGTTTCCTACACCACAACTGCCCCGGTCATGTTCCGAGCCGAGTTGGTGAGGGACCTGACCATCACTCCTTGAGTCGAGTCCAATCTCAGCCAAAACTCCGACGGCAGCGAACAATTCTCCGCGCCATGTCGTCGTCCGGCGCTCCCGCCGCTCCTCCAGTACGTTCCTCGCCTCCGACGGCTCCATCCATTCTGCTGCTGACCCTTCTTCTACTGATCTTCACAGACTTCAGTTGCGCCGTCTTTGTAGTCTTCACATCTTCCCGCGCGAGATGAGGGGAAGTTCGCTGAGTTGGTCGACTCGGCGTCCCGGGCTCGCGGGGTCAGCGATGGGCAGGAGCACCCTGGCATCGATCTGACAACTTCCCGTGGGTTCGACCGGGCGTCCGAGCCGGCATCTCGCACTTCTCCTCGCCGCTTGCCGAGTCCGCGTGGCAACACCACTTCGGACGCCGCCGACCTTGGTCGGTCGGACTCGGCTGGGCCGGTGAGTCTCGACTCTCTCGCTGCGCTGATCCATGCGCAGTCCGAGCAACGCCGCATCGAGAACGCGGACTTGGCTCGGCTGTTGTCATTCGTGATCACTCGTCCCGCGCCGGCAGCTGATAGAGAGGTCCGCCGAGCTGCCCTCGAGGCGACGTCCGTCAGCGAACTCGTGAGCCTCCTTCGCGGTCAGCACCAACCTTCAAGTCAAGCTAGTGACGTCGCTGCACTGAGGGTCGAGCTGGAGTCTGCTCGGACTATTAACGCTGACTTGACTCGGCGGCTGGATTTACAGGCGGCTGTGAAGGCCGACCTCGAGGAACGGTTGAAGACTGTCGAGGAGGAGCGTGACCGATGGAAAGCCGAGTCGAAGAAGTCGTCCCCTCTCCTGACCAGCTTCCAGAAGGCGATGGCCGAGTCTGAAACTTCCTTGAAGTCGACCCGCAAGTCTCAGGATGATAATGTGAAGTCGGCTCTCGCTCACGCTAAGGATCTCGGCAGGCAGCTCAGGGAACGCGACTCGGAGATTGAGCGTTTGACTCAGCTTCTATCGGCTCGTGACGCCGAGTACGCTGTGCTCCAGGGGATCTCGACCAAGCACTTCGAGCAACTGCAGGAGTCGGCTCGGCTACTCATTTCTGGAGCCGCCCAGCCTCTCCGTGATGCCAAGGCTACTATCAAACACCAGCGTGAGGTCATCCTCCGACAGAAGCGTGTCATTTCTCGCATGGGCCTTTTACCCATGCATGATCCTCACATGGCTGCTGCAGCTGCAGCCGGGTTGGACGTGACTGGGTTGAGCCCTGCTGACTTGCAGCTCAATGCTCGGTTATGCCGGATCTTGGCTCAACGTTTCCCGGAGGAGATGGACATCCCGGCTGGAGAGACTCGTCGAGTCGAGTTGACCATCCACCCGCGAGCGGACGGCGCTGCTACTACTCTGCCAGCGCCCGTGAGCTCGGCTGGTTCTTTGCTTGGACAATCAACCCGGCTGACTGGGTCTGAGGCTCCGGCCCTTCCAAGCGTGTCTCCCGCATCATCTGCCGCCAATCCTGTGTCGGCTGGTGCGGTTTCTACGCCCGTGTCCACTTCTGCTTCGCGCCGTCGCCGCAGCAAGTCGGTCGACCAGGTTCACCGAGCTCGGCTGGATACTCTGACACCCGCCGAAAAATTACTTCGCTACTCAAACCCGAAGTCAGCGACGGCGGCTGGTTCTCAGCGCAAGCCCAAGAAGCCACTCGAGCAGCCGGACGCGTGTCCACTTCCTGGTGAGGTCGGCCATGAGGACGCGTTGGTCCAGCTTGAAAAGGCTGCCCAAGAGACTGACGCCGCATGCGACCTATCCCTCCGGTCGAGCTTGAACTTAACCGGGTTGACTGTCGACGATGTGAATGTGGAGGCCGGCGACGAGGTTCACTCGCTGGAAGTGGACCTCTCGTTCGAGTTCACAGAAGTGCCTGGTTCCACAGAGCTCCTGAGGGGGCCCGCCGTCCCGGCCGTGAGTTTGCCGCCCGTGCAACTCGTGCCTTACTCTTCCTCCCCGGTGCAGACGCCTTCAAGCGGAGTGGCTGTTGTATCGTTGCCTGGATCTGCTGACCTTGTTGCAACTCCGTCCGCTTTTTCGCTTCCTGCCTCGATTCCGTTCCCGACTTGTGTCCGGTGGGTTCCTTCCTCGACCAGCGTGGCGAGCGCGGCTGTGGTGACATCGACTGTCGGCGCCGGAGGACAACCGGGTTCCTCTGCTCCCGATCCGGCGCTTGCTACAACGCATGCTGTGATTGCGCCGAGCTCGACGGCTGGAGTCTCGGCTGCGGGTACAACTAACAGCTCCGCTGCGATTCCGCCTAGGGTTTCGCAGTCTTCTTCGGGTTCGGCCGCTCACCGGCTCTTGGCATGTACTCGTTCCCGGTTTGCCAATCAAGCCCAGAGTCGTCGTGGCCCGTCAGGGGTGGCGTCGACTGTAGTCACCGCAATGCCGAGCACTCCGTCGGTGGCCTCGACCCGGCCAGCGGTTCCTCCTAGCTCAGCTGGGATGACTTCTCCATCGCGTCGCCCTTTACGCTCCACTGCGGCTACTGCCCGAGTGTTGAACGCTCACTGCTTGGATCTGTTAGAGACTCCTGACTATCTCGTCCTCCGGTCCGCTCGGCGTAGCTCTTCCTCTGGTTCGTCGGGCTCGGCTCTTGGATTGAATGCTCCTGGAACCTCAGCACATCCGTTGTCTGTGTCCGAGAGCTCTGAATCTGAGGCTGACGACCCTGGATCTGATGACGAGCTCAGTTCGGCCGACCCTGACGCATCTCGCCGGGCTTCGTTAGCTTCTGCGCTCCCACCTCCGCACGGGAAGATCCAGAGCTACATGGCTGCTCGTCAATCGCCTCTCGTTCTGTCCAGCGAGTCAGGTGACTCAGACTCACAGCCGAGTTCCAAGAAGCAGAGCGGTAAGGCCAAGCGCAAGCGGAGGCGCGAGCACAAGCTCAAGCACAAGCACGAGCACAAGCACAAGCACAAGTCGAAGTCGAAGTCGGCAGGGTCAAAGAAGTCGAAGAGGTCTGCGTCTCCGGACTCGGCTAAGGACCCCCGCCCGTCCAAGCGTCAGCGAGGTTCGGCTGGGGACTCGGCCGTCGGTCCGGCTGAGGTTTCCGCCGCTTCCAGCTCGACTAACAACTCGGCTGGGAGCTCTGGCATCCCATCGAGCTCAGCTGTTTCGCCGTCGCCTATTTCTGCTGGTCCAGCTTCAACCCTGTCGGTGCCTATCGTGACCGCTCATGACGCTGGCGCCCACGTTCTCCCTCAGTTGCCTGCAGCTTTACGCTATTCGCTCGCTCAGCTGCGCACTCGAGCTCGCCAGGCGGTCGGCCGAGATGCCCGGATAACTCCCCAGCTAGCTCAGCTGCGTGACGTCCGCTTCGTTCATTACGGGTCTCGGCGGTGCTGGGAGGCTATCCTCAGCCATCAAACGGCCAAGGTAACTGTGGATGACGCGTCGGGGAAGGGTAGTGTGCCGGTTACGCTCTGTTCCCTCGCTGGGATTAAAGCGTTCGCGGACGTCTACCATCCGGATCACCCGGCTCAGCGGCTCCTTCGTCTGCTTCCCAAGACTCCTATCTTCTTCTCCCCTCAAGTCCTTGACGATGTCAAGCGCCGGTTGACGAACTCGGTGAAGCCGGTGACCTTGATGGACGTCTCGCAGAAGTGTTCGTGAAGATCCGCGGAGAGGCTCCGAACTCGGTTTGTGACAAAGAGGGTCCTACCAAGCTCTTCGTAGCACTGTCCGAGAGGTGTCACTGGATGGTCGAGTCGAGTGTGCTGATGGGGCTACATCCGGCTTTTCTCACGGGGCTCCCATATCACGTGATAGCCGAGATGTATGACACATGGGTGTTGTACAAGTTGGCTCGCAAGCGTCGAGGCGATGCCCTCCGAAGTCTCATGACTATCCTGCCGGACGACCTGTTCACTGCAGTGATGAAGCTTCTCGGCGGGCTTGCTGCCCCGGAAATCGACGCGGAGCTCTTCTTCGAGCCGTCGGTCCCGTTGTATCCGCTGATCAATCTTGCTTGGATTCCTGCGGGCAGAGACTGGTGTGCTGAAGCCGAGTCTATAGACGACTCCGAGCCTTGGCGAGCTTGGTGGTTGACCGACCCAGCGACGCACCCGTACAACACCTGCTTCCGGACGCGTAACTTGGAATTCATGGTTTTCGCTCCCGCTGGTGTGGATCCACGCCTAGTCGAGGATACTGTCGATGAAGATGTGGACCTCGACGAGCCTGCGCCTCCCCAGATTTCGTCAATTGCTCCGACTCCGGTCAACCGTGCAGGAATCCACATCTTCCAACATTGTGAAGCTGGTGAGCTCGGCTGGGCCGGTGGCGATGCGGATCCGGCGTCTCCGTTGATCGGGTCGCCTAACGTGTGCGGCCCTTCTCCCACGGCTTCCCTCTTTGGTCCGGCGTCACCTGGGTCTCCAGCTGAGTCGAGCGCAGGATCGAGTGTCCCTCTGGCTAACAACTCGGCTATTCCGGCTTCAAGCTCAGCGGACTCGGCTGTGCAGACTGCGGGAGCAGCGGATAGCTCAGCCGGCTCAGCTACGAACACTGGAGGTTCGATTGGTCTCCTCGCAGCGGCTGCTGCTACCGTCGTGTCCTCTGTCGCGCATTCACAGGGTCCTTTGTCTCCGTAACGTGCGGCTCAGCCGCCGAGCTCTACTTCCTTTCCCATCATTCTTCGGTGTAATTCATGTAATGTATGCAATTTGACGCAGTAGCTTCCTTCGCCTCAACTCAGCCTGCTGTCTTCACTAAGTTGGCGGGTTCATCATTTTGGTGCAATAGCTTTAATCCTCGTCTGCAACTTGCACCATTTGCAGGCGGTTTTCACGCTTCTTCTGCCGTAAGTAGTCGAACAATAATCCCCCACACGACAAACTCGACAGCGGCTCCCAGGTTGGCTCATCATAGCCGACCCACTTGACCTTGAACTTCCGCTGAGTTCTGGAGGTGCTCGTAGAGAGCGGCAACTCGTCGTCCAGGATGGCTTCGACTTCGTATTCATTCATTGCTTCGTCAGGCTCCCAGCTATCTTCAGGAAGGAGTTCCTCGTCAAAGTCGAGACGATCCGACTCGGCTAAGTCGGCTACTAGCCTAGTTGTCGGCCGCTCGCCGAGTCCCGTGACCGCTTTCAGACGTGACACATGTATCACAGGGTAGAAACGGTATCCGCTCTGCTCTTGTCCGGGAGTTCGAGCTCGTAGGCAAACTCCTCCACCTTCTTCTTCACTCATGCCATCGATGTGCTAACTTCTTGGTCAAGCCAGGTCTGACTCGTTCCATGAACAACCAAACTTGGTCACCTTCCTTGAATAGTGACTTCCTCGACTCGGCTAACTCGTCACCTTCCTCAGTCGACTCGGCTGCTCCCTCGGGTGAGTTCGCTGGGGTATCCGTCCCTTCCTCCCCAGCTGGGACAGCTCTCTGCTCGACTCGGCTGAGTCCGTCATTGTGTCCCTTCGCTCTCCGTTTCTTCTCCTTCAACTGGAACTCGGCCGCAAGCTTCAAAGCCACCTCTCTCTGTCGGTTTGCTTCCCTGCGGCATTCGGCTGCCCCCGTTGAGTCAGCTGAGTTGCCCCTGCCGAGCCTGACCGACTCGGTCATCGCCTTGAGTGTATACCGAGCGTCCCATCCGTGTACCAGGTAGAACGGGGTCTCCCGCCGAGTCGAGCCTCTCGAATTGTTGATGGCATGGACGAGCTTCTCGGCTACATCATCCCAGTCGGCTTGGAGAGGGTCTTCCACGTACACACGCACAGTCTGGATCATGGTCTTCACTGAGCGTTCTTGCTGACCGTTGGCTTGGGTTCGGTAACTCAGCGTCGCTCTCGACTTGGACTGCATCATCTCCGAGAACTTCTGGAACACTTCACTCATGAACCGGGGATCTCTGTCGTGGCGTACCAGTGATGGAGCTCCAAACCTCCGGAACACGTTCTCTTCGAAGGCCTTCGCTACCTCAAGTGCCCCAGTCTCACTCATTGCCTTAGCAATTGCGAACCCGGTGAAGTGGTCTTGAAACAATAGGAGTGCAGTGTTGCCCCGCCGAGTGTTCGGCAGTGGTATGACAAAGTCCATCGATACCTCGTGGAACGGTCGCTCAGACACTACGTTGCCAGGTGAATAGCCCTTCAGGTGTGGTTTGCTCTTACTGGTACTGCAGTCTTCACACGCTTGGACATGTTTGACCACGTCTGCGTACGACCCAATCCAGTAGTAGTCGGCTCTGACCCTGTGGTATGTCCGCACAATCCCTTGGTGGCCTCCCTCGATGGAGTTGTGGCAGTTCTGCAGGACCTCGTCTATCATGGTCGTCGGAACCACCAGTCGAAGGGATAAGCCTAGTTCGCCGAGTTCGCCAGGTGGTC